TTTTTTTGGTGCTGTCCCAAAATTTTTTAAATGTGTTGCTGGAAACACATTCACAATTGGCATGTACGTCAAATCATCAGCTTTGATCTGTTGTCTTTCCACTATTTTCTGTTTAGTGTCGGGGTGAAATGGTTTGCAAATCATCAAGATTATCAACATTTACAACAGCATCCCAAACTTTTTTTTGGACTCTTGGTTTTATCTGTAAATCAAAGTCTGCAGTTGAAGGGTCTCGAGGAAAACAAGTATTCTATTTGAATAAAAACTGCAAAAATGTGGAAAACAGACCAGTTAGAAAGGTGTGATGTGCTGGGCTTATGCTGTTGATTTTAAAGCGTGAAAATACAAACCCAGTGCGAAAGATGTAATTTCCACTTCCTTCGCAGTTTTTACCGGATTTCACTCGCTCTGCCAAGGAGGACAGGTGTAGCCTAAAAAAAATGGGCAACATTTTCAACCGGAGGACGAAGAACAAGATGAAGACAAATGTGAAGGTTGTGCAACAAATCAGCATAATCATAATTAATACAAATATCTGAGCAGTGTAAGCTGACAAACACTGGAGATTTCAGCCTTAATTTACAGTAGCAAGGCCTTTCCATGCAAAGATAATTACCACTGTTTACATTGTGCTCTGAACAATTTACAGAATATACTGACTCGGAAAACACATTAGTGCTGGCAGGAGTTTTAATGGTTTGATGCATTTGTGTAAATAAACAGAAATTGGCCATTATAGGATAATTCCAGAACAAAAATCCTCATCTGTAAATTCAAGTGACTTGAAGGCGTCGTTACTGCCAAACTGTGCATGTATACGTGTGTGTGTGTGTGTGTGTTTGTGGGTGTGTAGGTGTGCAGGTGATGCTGTGGAGGTGGCGGCGGGAAAGTCATAGGAAGTGAACGCACATCGGTGCACACTCAGAGCACTCAGTCACTCAGCCTCAGTGTGCTTCACTGTCGAAGCAAATTAAGGAAGCTTTGGCAGCCTTTTAATGGTCTGTCACAGTCTAACAGGTTTAGAGCGCTTACAATGGACCCAGGCACTAAGCCCGACAGCTCGCGCTTAATTGTTCAGAACCTGTGAGTGTGTGTGTGTGTGTTTGTGTGTGAGGAAGTGTGTTAACTGTTCGGGCCACTTTGCACCTTTAGCTAAAGTCATTGATTCTCATTATGAGGGCAGATAAGATAAGCTCTTCCTGTCTGTCAGGCTGTTGGAGTGACTGGTTCAATACAGTGAGCGCTTAGGCTGACATGTTATGATGAATGCGGCGCTTATTGGAAAACACAGTCTGGCTGTTTTTGTCAGAGAAAGTGAGGTATTTATACACATTTGCATCTTCATTGGACTTTAACTGAGGCTATGTCCCTTCAAAGTAGAATCGTGAAATTTCCTCCCCGTTATAAATAAAAAAAGCACAAAGACATGCAGGGCAGGAGGCCATAAGTGGATTGAGACATTGACTTAAGCAGCGGATAATAAACAAAACATCGAGTGTCTCATTTTCCGAGCAGCGCCTGAAGAAATCAACAAAGCAAATAAAGCCGTTTGTTTATGTCTTTGAAATCCACACAGTATCAGCCAGCGAAAATGATCCACAGTGGACGAGTCGGCAGCGCCTGAATATTCCTTCGAAATGGTCTGAGATTCTGAGCAGTGTGACCTAGAATATGTTTGACAATCTCCTTTTAATTAGGCCTTCAAGACGCGACTCATTCCAAGTGCTGTCCTGAGAGCTAAATTAATTACTAAGACAAAGCCCATTCTAGCTCATGGCGAAGATGAATCATTGCAGTATTTGGGGAATGAGCAATGCTCTTCATTCAAGGGCTGATGAAAGAGACACAGGCTGTAAAATAGGAGCTAATGGACTTTGTCATATACAGCGTGCAATGGCATCTGCTGCATCGGCAATCAGGAGTTCACCTTTCATCAGATCTTCTAGGATGAGATATGTCCTCCAAAAAAAGGATCATCTTAAACTCATGAGATGGTTGAGAGCTTTTGGAGCCTCTTTGTCTCTTCCATCAGTTTCCATTTCGCTTCAGTCTCCAACAACCTTTACTGACCCACTACTTTGCTTTCCTGGGCAATCCACAGATAACTAAACCCAACCCAACTGTCTTGTCCAGGCCATCAGCCAGCGGACGCGTCCTCACCCGCTGCCAGCAGGCAGACTATTCATTCAGCTAAATGACTGTGTCATCTGTCAGGCTGTATAAATGGGTGTTTGTGAGTTATGGCTGATTAAGCTAATCACAACACCAAAGGTTGTGCCAGAGATCAGGCCTCACAAAGAGAGACGAATGAAATGGTGAATTTGTTGGGTGGTGGTATGATACATGTAGATTTAAACTGGCAAATCTAGTCTTCATGTACTTTATTTTACTGAAAACGTTGAACTGATAGTCCCGTTGTCAAAGTTCAGTTCAGGTTTACTGGCTCGTAAAATTGCAAACCCACACTTTTGCAATTCTGATTCTTCGTCTCTTTCACTTTCTTGTTTATTTTTACTGTACATTCCTCGCTCTCTCTCTCTCTCTCTCTTACTCTGTCTCTCTCTCTGATCTTTGCAAAGTCCTCTCTGTCTCCTCTTAAGAGTTTTCAGGGACACTCTGAAACCAGAGATGCACCAGGAGTCCCCGCTCAAAGCTTTGTATTGACTCAAAGATTGGCCCGTATGTGCCCAGCAAGCCTAATGTGCCTAACAACCTGAGTTTCCTCTGGCGACACCTCCAGATTAAACTGACGAGTTCATGGGGATGTCCATGTCCCCAGATAAAAGAGTGATAACCTGCTCAAATGTTTTCATTAGGAGTAAAAAATGTGTCTTGTTATCTATGCCTGATAAGATTCCCCAGACAGAAAGAAAACATACTGAAATGGTCGGCTAGTGAACCGCTTACATCAGTTCCTAGAACTGGAGCATTTGTTATGTTCAAGGAAAGGCATGCTAGTTTTGTCCTTTGTGTAGGTGTGTGTTTCTATCTGTATGTTATGAAGAGAAATGAACTCTGCAGCAGTACATAGGCGCATTGCAGTCTCAGGATTCCTCCCCCGACTTACCACATATATCTTGTCGCAAGAAGACCACAGGACCAAACAGACTTTAACTCTTGTTTTCTTTAATAGGAATTGCACTGAAACATCTACTTGAACTCTTATTAACTTGTTTAAGAGCACTACATAGATGCCAGTAGTTGAAACATACCAATTCCTTCCTATTGAATTTTTTTTCAACAAGGACAAATGCGGGCCAACGTTTCCAAAGCTCACAAAATATCCAAAATAATGAAACACTATCTATAAAATGAGGACTATCTGGATGGAGACGACCAAAAGGACTGAACCAATGTCAGAAACATCTGGATATCAAGCACTATAGAGATAATCTGTTGACAAGGGAGGCATACCATTGGAAATGAAACAGCTCCGGGTTCACACATGACGTGTTTATATTAGCAAATAAAGTTGACTAAGAACACGTGTTCTTAAAGGTTTGTGTGGTCAATGAAAGGAAACCTTACAGGCTGAAAAAGAAAGTAAGAAAGTCATTGCATGGTCCACAGGAAGTTGCAAATACACACATTAAAAGAGACAAAAAGTTAAGGTTAGCTAAATTAGCAGGTGCAGAACAGACGAGTCAAGTAGAAGTCAGAAGAGTAGAAGTTTTAGAAGTTTTACTGTGTGAGCTGGAGGTGTTAGCTCTCTGTTATTAAAACTTGAAAAAGAAGAAAAGAAAGAGAATGAAAGCCAGAAGTACTTTGTCAACTATCCCAAGAGCATCACTCCACAAGCTAAGAGGAAATTCAATTTACAGCGTCCACACTTTACCTCACATTGTATGTCCAACATTATTGCTATCACCAAGAAACGAGTTCTGTCACACCAATTAGTGCAAACTACCTTCAGTGAATGTTTCCCTTTCTTTGCCATTGTGTAAGAGATCAATTCTCCATAGACAAGAAAATCCATAACGTGGGGCTTAGGCTGGAGAAGTGTTTGCAGCCCATGTGGCTTTAAGTAAGGGATCCAGTAACACAGCGTGCAATCATTAGCTTGTCAGCTTTTATTATGGTAAAGGACCTGAAGCCTGCTCCACTCAACACAGCTCTTATCTAACCTGTTTGGCTGTTTGGTTAACAGTACACACAGAAGAGCAAGGTCTGAGTCACCACCGTACACTTCCCTTCACCTCTGCACTTTCTTTCTCTCTGCTATTTGTCTTTGTTTTGCTGTTTTCACATCCTTTTTTAACGGCTATGTCAAGGGGAGGTGTTAGCATGTTTAAAATTGCTAGTTAGCACAGGTGAGGTGAATGGGAACGTCCTTGATTAGCAGGATTTTGGTTTTGAAGTATTGTAAAGAGACTGGAAAATTTTAAAAAGAGGCGTTGTTAGTGAAAATAATCCAGGCAGCAATTACTTTCCCACAAAAACATATTTGGGAGCAGAAATCCATTGTATGTAGAAGTATTTTGTGGGAGTTAGCAATGCATTTTCAGGAAATAACACAACCTCTGCCTTTGACTCTTTCCAGTCGCATCTCCTGACTTCTACATGACTTTCTCTGTCGCTTTTTTGTCATACAATCTCCCCCCCTGAGGGATCTTCATCCCACCATATTAAGAGTGGAAATGTATCCGCTTTCATTGTAATTACAAACCCACTGGAGGCAAAGCTTCTTGATCTCTGCTGGATCCGTGCTTGCTTTTCTTTTTTCCCTTTATTTACTCACCTCTCTCAGCCGAGAGGACAGACACATGCTGAGCTATCCGTTCTGTTTTTCTTCCCCTTCTGCTCGGGCTTTCTTTGCATCTAATCTGCCTAAAATTACAATAGCATTTAGAGAGGCAATAAAAGAGGTATCATATGTTTGGGGGCTGTTTAAGAGGAAGAAAGAGGGGGTTTGAATTAGATTGTTTGTGAGTAAAGGGGATTGCTGTTCTGTAAACCACATGTGTTGCTTATGAGATGCTGCAAGAGTGCACAAGGCGGACTCAAACCCTGGAACCGTGCCTTTGTTTACAGTTGGTGTCTGGATTAGCCATCTCTAAGCACTGTAAGTCCTCAATGAGGCCAAACTGTTGGCTCCTAACAGCCCAGGACGGAGCCGCGAAAGCGGGGAAGAAATTGCTCTCTGCAAGAATGAACTCCTACAGAGAACGGTCCCATGAAAACAGACCCCTGAAAACAAGCAGAGTCTGCTGTGGTTTGAAGGTAAGGGTTCGATATGAGGACAAGGCTTTAATGACCCTGTAGTGACCCTGTAGTGATCTGTTCCCATCCACAATCCCACAAGAATGAAGACAAAGAGCAGAAGAACAGGAAAAATGAAACAAAGGTGTGTCTGTTATGAATTTCTGCATTGTTTCCAGGATATGATGTTTGTTTCAAACCCATTCAATAAACCCTTTACACAATCAAACCCTTGTCTTCTGGCATTGTGATAAATCCAATGTGTATTTCCTGGGATGTTCTAGACTAAAAAGGGTATTAAAAACAGCAGTGCCGACATCACAAATCAGGAGAAACCCACTGCAAATTGACTTTTGCACTTTTTCCCATTCCCATTTATTCTAGTTTTTAACCTTTCCACCCACTGTCCATTATTACGAAGCATACCAACAAGGTGACCAGTTTGATACCAATCCAAATAAAACTGGAGTATTTTAATAACCAATCACCCACAACCAGGACCAATACTGATTCTCTTGCTACAACTAATGGGATTTGTCAAATGGCGAGTGAACATCTTGGATCAACAAGGATCATCAAAAGGATATGGGCCACTTTGACAAAATTGTGACGCTACGCAAGAGAGTCATCACATCTCCAAAACTGCAGCTCTTCTGAGTTTCTACATATCTGCAGTTATCAGTGTAGATCATCATGTAAACCTCATGTCATCTGTCATTGGCTAACTAGCTTTAATCCTTATAAATACTGGATTACTATTGCTAAACAACAAACTTTGTTACCACAGCCGAGGAGAATGACAAAAATACTGTATCTTGGGTTGATTTGATGCACAATGCTGAGGTGTTTGGCTATGGAGGTAGTGAATCCCCCTTTTGCAAGAAAATTGTCCTTGCAACAAAAGGTGTACTTTATTTTCAGTTATCGAATGACCTCCTGGTTTCTTATTATTTCTTCTTTTTCAAATATCTCATTACATTAAAAAAAAAAAAAATCTATTTTTGATTCATTTTTGCGTTTATGCTTCATTTAAATTAGATAAGGTGACTAAACTCAAGATAACATATTACGTCATACAGCCCATGACCCTCAAACACATAATCAATAACTGATAATTGGTCAACCCATTTTCCAAATATGTAAATGATGGAAGTGTATGTAGATAATTTGAGTCCGGGCTTTTCAGTTCTCACAAGAAAGAACCAGACTGAGCACAGGAAGAAGAGTAGGTTAATAGGTACGACTTTGTAACAAGGATGGTTGCCAGAGAAGGTTTTGACATGTTACAACAACAACAGTAGAAGATGCAATGACAACTCTTAGAGTTTAGCTGTTAACATGTTCCTATGAATACACTGCCATCCAATTGCAGCAGCAGACTAAAACCAACTGTCAAAACTTTATCTAAAACAACAACAAGTCATTATTTACTTTACAGCTGTTACAAAAATACATTAGATTTCAGTGCTACAGCTACTGTGCTGTATGTCTGGTGAGAAAACCACAGAGATTTGTCTGGGAAAACAAAAACAAAAAAAGACTATTCTCAGTCGGAGGGAGATAAAACTACCAGTGAAGTCAAAAGCATTCACACACATTTGTGTCCTGTTTTTGGGTCTTAATGGCGGTGACTGTGCTTGCCCAGGGGTGTGGCAATAAAAAACAAAAAGGATCATGATGTTCTTGAAAAACATGTGACAGACACGCACCACAGCTAGAGCCAGAGTGTTTGTGTCTGTGTTGAGGAATGTTGTTGTGCGCACTAACTTTTAAGATGTTGGTGGCGGGAACAATGACAGGGGTGAAAGTGACAATTTTGCAGAATAAGTGGAAACAATGCAAACGCTGCATGCGCAATGATAACTTCAACCCTGCTAAGAGGCCACTTCTGCATAAATGTGCACTTTGAGCTTGCAAGAACAACGTAAAAGTAATGCTGTGTGCAAAAAGGGGCCAACCTACAGTGATGATTATCACATCCAAATCCAATCCATTTCTTTCACTCTGTGCGTGGAAGTGCTCAAGGGGAGTCTCAACATGTTAGCAAAGGAGGCACCTGGGAATTGAAGTGCTGCGTCTGTGCTATGAGAGAATATGAATGCTGTAATGGAAAATAGGAGAGAATGGGGGAAAGATTTGGTGTGAAGTCTTGTAAATATATTTATTAGAGGAAGAAATACAGAGAAATCAAAAGCTGCCAAATCTTTGTTTCCAACTCTGTGACTGTGACAGCAGCGTAACGCTAATAAAAAACCTCAATTTGGTTCACGCCTGAGTTCCAGTCACACCCTCAACGTTACATTAGAAAACCAGATCGCACCAATAAAGTCAAATCAAACGGATTGCAGAGCAGCAATTAATTCCAAGGATAATGATGAGGGAAGCCGTCCAAAAGTGTCTCTGCCTCAATTAGTCTCTCAATGCACTGTCGATGCAGGAGATGGATGAAAGAAAAACAAATTAAGTTGCAGAGAAAAGAGGGAGCAAAAGAAGGGATAGCGCTGAGGAAGGACCGAGAGAAAGTGATATACACGATGGGGGCTTGAGAGGATTGAGTTTGGGAAAGAGGGGGAGATTAAAAAGAGCAGATAGAGTGGCCTCACTAATGGACACCAGAGAGACAGAGAAGAAAGACATAAGCCGTACTCACAGCTGTATGGGCAGGGCAGTAGGTGTAGCCTGTGTGCGCGGACTGGGGGTGATGATGGGGGTGTTGCTGATGGTGGGAAAGGTAATGCTGCAGACTTGCACGGGTGTAAGAGGAGCTGCTTCTTGTCCCTTGACCACCACTGCCACCACTGGTCCAACTGGAGCCAACACTTGGGTTCATGGAGGCGGACTTACTGCTGTGGTAACCTCTTACTGCTGAAGTGGGCTGAGGGGGGAAACAGGGAATGGGGGAGTGGGGGGGTTGGAGTGAAACAGACAGAAGAAAAGAGCAAATGTGAGGGGAGTACATGACAAATGTTCCTGTCGAGAATATCACTATCATAACCGCAATCAGGCTAAAATCTGGAGCAGGCAAGCACTGACAACTGGCTGCCCGCTCAGCGACCTGTATCAAAAGCAAAAGCAGAACGTGCAGTTGAACTGAAATCTCCATACCAGAGCATCAAGATTGTTCTCACACTTTTCTTTTTCCCTCCCTCCGTTTTTTTTGCGATCACTTCAAGCACCAGATGTTGTGAAACCCCCCTCCTCTGTCACAGTCGAGATGCATTCAGGCTGGAAAAAAAAAAAAGCTGATTGGTTTGATAAGATGCTCGGATTACAGGTTGGCAATGGTTCCTCCCAGAGTGGCATTATGTATTGGGTATCAACAGGGTCCAGGAAACACAGGGCTGAAGCTGCTGACAGGCTGGATTATGCTGCTCGGAGATGGGTTACCTGGGCTGTCATGGCTACTGGAGCACAGAGGAAAAAAACAGGACACACATGCCAATCCATGGCATCTTAACAAGACCTATAGGGCACATGCTGGAGTATTTGCAAGCTGGTCAACAATGTCACTTCTGACCTGTTTATGTCCAAAAAACGCATAACTTGCGGCATCGGATTTATTCAGGTATTTTTATTCGCAGAAAATCTTAAAACACTCGTGGCTCCCCAGCTTCAAAAACATATTTTGTTGACATATTGGCACCAATCAGGTCTAAACAGTACATATTTGAAATATGAAATGAAGCCAACCTTAAAAATGATTGAATTTACTTTTTCTACATGTAATTCAGTAATTGTTTTAAGCATCAAATAAAATCAAATGTGTGAAATTATAAGATTTCTGATGTTGCTTTAATAAATTTAAACATAGAGCAGTTTTTTAAATGCCTTCATCAACAGATAAACAAAACTTTTTGTGCCCTTCCATGTTAAATACTCGATTCTGATTGGTCAAAACCCCAGGGACAACCCGTTTACATATGATATCAAATCAATCCTGAAAGACCTCGAGTATTTCACCTCTCCCATGTTGACACTGTAGCAAAAAAAAAATTGTTTCTGTCTAAATTGTGGCAAAAATGTTACTTTCAGGCTGGTCTGGGGAGTTGCAAATTACTGACAGAAATGAGAAAGCAGCCCCAGGAGCTACAGGGCCGCCTCGGCCATCTCTGAGAGGGAAAGTGTTAGATCCTGTCCTGCAATCCAGGCAATGGCAAAAAAAAGCTGTAGAGTATCTATAAGCTAGCTACAGATAGCTACAAAGTTAAACAGTTAAAGATCGTGAAAGCAGTTACAGGGTTTAAAGTTATGTGTACCTGTTACATTTGAGAGTTGTGTGTTGTGCATACTCTGAGTAAGGAGAGCTGAAATGTCGACAGTAGTAGTTCAGTAAACGTCCTGTTCACCCTGTCTGATGCTACCTTCAATGCTGGTTTATGTGTCTGTTTTACTTTGTTGTAGAAATACTCAATTTCACTCAGTAAAAACATCTTTATATCAACATTTCATATCAACTTTTTATAACTGTATTTGGCAGCTTGGTAATAAGCAGGATAATAAAAAATAAATGGGTGGTTATGCGAACTGGAATCCCTCTAGCGTGAGATAAGACCCTCAGGCGAGCGTGTTTTCAGTCCACAATACATTATCCCCTTCTAATTGGATCATTTAAAGCATATGTCTCTCTATGTGTTCCCTGCCTCTTGGCCCAATGAGGGCTGAAATCAGCCTCAGTCCTCTGGATGAGCAGTATCATTTAAAACTATTTTCAACACAGAAATGTCAAACATTTTTCAGATGTGAGCGCTCTCTCCTTTTGACTGTTTGGTGTTAAATTTAAACTCTGTACTGGTGGTCGGCCAACACAAGCTATTTTAAGGCACAAACACTGGCTCTCAAAAGTTACTCTCTTACAACAAACATAACGCTGTAGGAAAATCAATTACAGAAGATTCAATAATGGGATCTGTCATGGGTTGCACAGGGAGTCTCAAACCTGTTTAAATAAGAGAGCAGAGAATAATTAATTAACTCATAAACAGACTTTATTAAATTACTTTGGCTATTCTCATCTTTCTGATTTAGATTTCAGCCCCTCTGTGAGAAAAAGGCGACTTAAACTATGATGTAATCCAAAGACCGCTTGCCATGATTTATTTTACATTTGCGAATACTGTGCAGCACAAAGACAAACCCCCTTGAACGGATCACAGCTGTACATCTCAAGTGAGCATTAAGAGTCCCCCTTCGGCCTCTCTTGGATTTTCACTGAGGTCGGGGGTCATCCCACACAGGAGATCCTGACAGAGTGAGCTGGCAGCGGTATAGACTCACAGCTGTGCTCAGAAGCGCTGCCAGTCTCGTATCCTTTATCAGGAAAAGAACCGGAGGCGAAAGACGTAAGCCAAAGTTCAGCCTAATTCGTACAATATATAACGACAGGTTTGGGCTCATGCTAATATAAAACAGGAGGAGGCCGTTTCCCCCTTAAGCAACATAACTACATTTACAACACAGAGTTCGTAGAGAAGCATGAGAGAGGCCCACCGGTGTTATGAAACCGCAAGTCCTGGGAAAAAATAGACAAGAATGAGAAGAGCTGAATTTGAATCACCGGGTTTTGAACGGTATCAAAAATGGAAACTTCAGATGCAGGCAAAAATCCAGCAACTTTGTGTTTTTTGTTTTTTTTTTTCTTCTTCCTTCTGCTTTTGACAAACACATCAAAAACAGCCAGTTGTTATTTTCTCTCAGGCCTTAAATGACAGATTTAGTCATAGGGTCAAAATTTGAGAACTGTGTGTAGGCAGGGTATTTTGTTCTAACAACACATCACAGCATTTAGAGCTATGCCTCACTGATGCAAGTTATTGAGTGCTATAGAGACATTCTCGCTGTATTATACAGCCGCTGTTAAAGCCAGAAGGAGAGGAACAGCCCCACAGTATGGTACATTAAGCTGCACGGCCACAGCCGCTACTTTAATGCAAGTATTCTACAGTTCATAGAGTTTAAGTACGGCCCCCAGCCATGCAACAAACTCCAGTGGCCTTATAAATGAGGATTATTGAAGCAAAGAGGAGGCATTTAGAAGCAGAGGTATATTGTAAAAGATCTAATCTCTGGGGAGGGCTAATCTTTAAATATGTTTCATGCTTATAAGTTATATAGGATAACAGAAGCATGATGAAGAGGTTGAAAAGCCAGGCTTCTCTGCTGCAGGAGAGACAAGATATTCAGCCTGTATATCACAGAGGCAGGGCTGTGTTTTAACATGAGCCTGAGATCCCAGGATCTTGACATTTTTTTCGACTGGAATGCATGATTGGTCCCCAGACTCAGATTCATGTCACAGACTTTCAGCGGCTCGTCAGAGAGCTACACTCTGCCCATATTTCTCCATTTTATATAAGGGCCAATCGGATCTAGTTACACACGGCTCTTTCCCCCTTTTTCCAGAAGGGACTTAGTTACATGCAGGCGAACAGATGTAGGCACATTTGTGAAAGTGTGTGTATATATCTATGTATGTGCAGCTGTGTTTGTAAGCACATGCATGTATTTATGTATCTGGTAGAGCTTATAATTCTCCAGAAGGGGAAATTAGAAGGTGAAACATACTCTGACTTACTGAAACTCTGGCAAATTATATTGTTTGTGTGTATGTGAACTTGTTTTTATATCATTTTAAGGACACTGTGGAAAATGGGGACATCTGAGTCTATTTTTGGAGGAAGCATTGGTCTGAGGATTCATGATGTTTTTAATCCAGATTGGGTTTAGATGACTGATGTAGCTCTTGACGCGAGAGGAATTACAGGTGCTCTTTTAGCCACTTCTGTATTAGTCCAAATTACGGAATTTTTCAGACTGTAAGCAAAAATATAACCATTCGGCATCAATCTGTGATACTACAGACAATTGAATTTCCTTTTGAGGATTAATAAAGTTCTTCTTCTTCTACCACAGGATGGTGGAGCTAGCTCTACTAATGTTAGCCACAACCCACAAACTAATTTCACATTGTTTCCTCCCAGAATTGGTGATCCTGTGTTAAGCAGTATTAAAGAAATTATCCTCTATTTTGACTATTTTCTAACAGTATTCAGACAAGAAGTCATAGTGAGAATTACAGTTTAAATAACCAGGAAGAAAGTCGAACTGTAACCCTAAACCTTACATACATACACCCACATTGTCTTTCTACATAGCCTGTTTACATCTCCCTTTCTTCCCATGCATTTTGAACTCAGATTATAATGGATGCTGCAAATAAAGGGACATATATTATTTTCTTCATATATTTATTTGGCTAACAGAGAAGAGAAATGAAACTGGTTCAGCAAGCCAGAACGTTATCATCGCCATTTATTATTACTGAACATGCAAGACCGGGCGGGATAATGCTTCACCTTCAGCTATATGAAAAACTGAGTGGAGGTTGTGGCTCCATTAATATGCTGAGATGAACCAGAGCATTGCACATCTCCCGACTCCATTTTTCAGCGGTTAAGTGATTTCCGTTCCTCTTCACGCTCTCCCTCGTGACACTGCATGGTTAAGGGTGTCAAGGGATGGACCTTTACATTACAGTTTATTTCTCCAAAGCACGTGAAGGTGTTAATCCACAGTTCAGCCTCAGTTTAATGTAGTCAGATAAAGGTTGATCTTTTAGTCCAAGGGCAAATTTTGGAAGTAAGAGCACTAATGCATAAACATTAAACTGCATTGCTATTTTGAAATACAATAAATTAAATATGACCTTCTTCTGTGGTAAAGGCTGTACCGAGTCCACAGAGGATGGATGTACACAAAATTACACCGGCTCTTTTTATGACTCGTGGAAAAATAAAGACACTATTCCCCCATCCACCAGAGTCATTTCTACGTGAACACTTTGTGACCCTGTAACTATGATGAAACCTCCCCATGAGGTTTGCGCTAAGGAATAATACGCTCACACAGAACAATTCGTTGCTTTCCAGGAAATATTTCCACCATGAAATCTATGACACAATAGAACAAAAACACACTCAGCGAGGTGTTAGGGAGGCAAACTGTGGCCCTATTGCCGAGACATCAGATTGCTTTTGTATTACAGAAAGTTTAACAGCAAAGCGTCTTTATGGTTCTGTGAAATCATACAGTTTTATCGTTTCGGCTTGGCGTATTGACTTTCTTGGAGGATGAATCAAAAGAGGCCTAAAGCAGAGATTGTCTTTTTCTACTTGTGTTATTTTTCCTGATTTTATCCTAAAGTTAAACCTTTATATCAGAGTGGAACATGAACCATTTGACCAATTGTCTCTTATGCGTGCTTTTTCTCCTTTCTCTGTGCAGCTTATAACACTGTACTGTGATTATCTGATCCTCCTGAAGGCATCGTGCCCCCCAGCTGTTGTTGGATACATGGATAGTGTGAGACAGAAATGTTCATTTCCCAAAACACAGATCCAAATCAAAATGTCCTGCTTTCCTGCTGGCCTAACTGTCTTATCTTGGCTCAGACCTCTATTTTTTTCAAAGAGACTGGAGGGCTGCCAAAATGGCCGTTTTTCCTCCCTGTATCATCATCATATTCCCGTTTCATACACAGCACATGCAGAATACAAACTCCAGTGTGCTTATGCCTTTTCAAAAATCCATCAAATGAACAAAAATGAGGTCTCTGAGACATGACAAATGGTCTAAATAACCAAGTGCCAGAGCGTTTTTGAAATGAAGGTTGAAATGCATGGTTTGAGGGTGAGAGGCTCCAGCATAAGGACCAGGAAAGTCATCCCAGATGGCATTAGTTAGGGGATATTGTCTTCTAGAGGGCCCTCCACGCCTGGTTGCTCCATTTGGCCAGCTATGAAAGAGACACAGCTTTCCTTTGGCATCTCTGATGACTGACTTCCTGGAAGCTGTGTTGCGTGAAATGGCCTCCTCTGTACCAGTCGCCCTCCTTTGCCAAACCTCATCCCCTCACAGAAGTCGGCTTTCCTGCCGCCAAAGAAGCAGGATTTTACTGTCACTTCTGGCCAAATGCAGCAGACGGAGGTGAGAAGAGTTCTGCGGGTCACCGGCAATGCCATCCCCAGTCCCAAAGGGTATCTCCTTCCACCTACACCAGACTTTCTCCAAGAATCAAAAACTAAGGTCAGGTGTAACCAAGGCAACACAGTGGCAGGCATGTGTGGACTTTGGCAAGAGTGGAAAGTCAGACAGGGGTTCACAACATACATCTGTCTGATACACTACTGGCCAATAATGAGAATAACTTACTCCTATTTATTATTCTGATAAATGGGTTTGTGTGGAAGTTTTACACTGTTTCTGAAGGGGATAATTCCAACTGCATCATCTTCTGGGGATTGCACGAGGATTCCCAGAAGAAAGGAAAAGTATTCAAGTTTTATCACAACAAATCGTATAAGTCACCTGAAGTCAACTTGTCGTTTCATGAAGATGTTACAAAGGAATATGAAGCAGCAGTACCTGCAGCTAACACTAGCATCAACTAAATAGCACTCTTTTAAAGGTGCGAAAAGTTTGCCAAAAACAGCCCATTTAATGACAAAATCTTTGAATTTATTGCACTTTATGACCAACTTTTCTCTGTGGTAAAGTAACAAAGGATTTTGCAGGCTAACACACTTCTAATTGAAATACAGAAACATAAAAAAGTACCTGTAATCTTATTGGTGTTGGCCACCAGGAGCAGGCACTCATCAGTTATCTGTCATGGCTGAAAAGAATTCATATCCTTAGTTTGAAGCCACTCTCCGCTGCAAATGAAAAGAGATGAGTGAACTGGAAGTCACCTCCACCATGTGTCCACAATGTGTCCATGCTCGGTGGCAAGGCCAACAACACGAATCCATCTCTTTTAACTCTGCACTTCTTCAGACGGTGCTCTTAAGAAACACTTCTGCCATTGAAGATGAAAGTCTCCAAAGGGTAGGTAGTAACCAAGGCAACTGGGTCAGACGGTGACATTACACAGGGGGTGGCTGACAGCCACTCATACAAGCGCTACAGCACTGTACTTGGGTCAAATGTGCCAAGTTTTGAGTGTGGTGTGTACTGTTAAGATTTCTGCGCTGACCTTACCTTGACTGTGAAATCTCTGTCGACTTGAGCTCAGACTAAACTTTTTGTCACTCTACCTGTTTGGATTTTCTTCACTGGTCTCCAGAGATTTTAAGTGCCCGTCCTCAGGTCACACAGGGGCTCAGAGGGACAGCATTTACTCCTTTAACTTGCCCAATTTCATACCAAATACTGAGTCCTTCAAGGTGTGGAAGGAAGGGAAGCAGAGGTGAAAAGAGGGCAAACAGGGAAACAAAGAGGTGAAAAGGAGGAGGAGAAAGATATCAGTGCAGGTCTCTGGCATATGAGAATCTCTGGTGTACAACAATACAATCCTTCCACACTTGGAGCTCGGTAAACCTCACAACTTTCTTTGTCTGTTCTTCATCTCTCCAAATATTTTCCTTGGCCTGACACGTGTTTATGCTCTGGTGAACCATGAGGCCGGGGGCCGCTGCTGTGAAGCGGATGTGGAGCCTCAAATTTGCATCTAGACATCCCTTGAGACGCAAAATGGAAAGACATGGGGGGTGATGGGACTAACAGACAAAGTAACCATGTTGAAGTGGTACGATTTTGATAACACCTACAAAAGAACAGTCGAATCCCTTTTTGACTCTGCTTGGACTAAGAAGAAGCAGCAGCAGCATCCGCCCGTTCAGTGGAAGGGGGCCACAACCATTTACACAGGGGTACTTTGAGGTCGGATGGGATAAAAAATGGAATGAAACTCCATACCGAATATTATTCACCAATGAATAAGTTCACCAAAAATGAATCACGTTGATAATTGATTTCTTCCTCTGAGTCATTTGTCAGTTGCTGCTTCGAGCTTTCCAGATGTGAAAATGTGCTGACTTTCTCTGCTTTACAACATCTTAAAAATTTAATACCATTAGGGGTTTCAGACTGTTTTGGCTGTACAAAATAAGGAAATTGAGTCTTTTTGAAACTTCCCAGATAGAACAAACCTGGGACTGTGTTTTAGCCAGAATCAAATCATTTTCAATATTCTCGTATATAAGACTGCAGGCCTTTTTAATCAATAAGTCTTTCACCTCAGTGAATCCAAGCATACTTACTCTCAGGAGTTATTATGGATTATACTCTTTTACTTCGCCTCCAAAAGTATTCTTTTCTCTTCATTAAATGGAATAAATCAAAAGCATGTGCGTTACCCACAGGGACTGCTGATTGGCTCGGCCCTTTAATTGAGAAACCATGTGGAAAACAGGAGCGGAAGCTGGGCTATTAGCTGCTGCAGATGGGGTCAACTACCACATAGAATAACTCATTTTAAAAAACTACAACTAAAACGGTGTGAGTGCACAGTTTCAGCTTTTTGCAGCCAGAAAGCCCATTGGTTTTTGTACTATCCTAGGATGAGACTAGGATAATCCTAACTGTAACCCTAGGATGAGACTTGTGAGTGTTGTTTTGCTTTTAATAAAACTAGCTAGAGTTTGTAGATCAGTTGACCTCATCTGTTGTTGCTGATAGCCTTGTTTTCCAACAGCCAATTAGCATTCAATGTGAGTTATACACCTACAAGTGACAAGTTCTCAATATAACCCCGAGTCATCTTTTCAAGTTTTACCAAAAGTATCACACAGTAAATGGAAAAAAGAACTTGAGAGAAGAGTAACAATAAACAGTTTCAGAGCTATAAATAAAGGCATCTGAAGGTAGATGGGAAATGGGGTGTCATCTGCATAACAGCACACTCTAGCACTTTGGTTTCAGACAAATGTATAAAAAGACAAGTGTAAAAAACACTAAATCTAACCACTGAGAACACAGGATAGGTTTTTGAATCGCAGGCATCTAGGATGTAATGTGCAGTACTTCAACCTTTTAATAGCAGTATAAAGTCATGCTGTTAACGTCTGCTGCTAAACTATGATTACAGCTGTTTACCCACTGGGGCAGCTGAGCTGTGTCTGAGTGGTTCCCACCTCCAGACAAATGCTTTCACACTGACATTTTAGTCCTCTTCTTATGTATGCTTTTTATACACCCACCTCTCTGGCTCTGTCACTTTGTCTGTTCCCCTTGCTCTATCGTTGCCTCTCTTTGTCTCTCTCTTTCTCTGCATGTCTTTGTACATTTCTCTCTTTTTCTCTTTCCTTCCATTACTCCGTAAACTGTAGGGGTGATGGATGTGTCTGATTGCCTTAGGGTCCTGAGTCCAGCACACTAAATCCTCAGCGTTGTTCAGAGCTATGCGCCATTAAAACAACACCTACACAATGTAGAAATAGCCACAAATGGTCACTAAGTGAGTGGTGGTCTGTAGCAACAGGATAGGATATGATATAAGGGGGCAAAACATACAGGTCTCCAACCAGGAAACTAAATCCATTTCAAACATTTACAATACTTTTGCAGGAGTTTACTTTTTCCTCCGATTAATTATGTGATTAGATTGACTGATACTAATGCCCACTCTTACATTCTTTTGGCCTCAGCAAAATAGCATTACCAAGCAACCTCTTCAGAGCAACCAATACACTTTGGCAAAATAAAACATTAGTGTCTCAGCTATTCAAGCTAATGTTGTAAGTTTCAATATGAATTTGTCATGACTTTGGACTCTCCCTTTTCTAGAGGAGACTGAGGCCCAGAAGGCACATTTTCTGAGTCTAATTATTTGATGCCATGTCAGAAATGTTGGCCCTATAGCAACATTTCTTCACAAACAATGAATAGGAAGTTGAACTTAGCAGCCAGAGCTGACAGTTTCTTTTTTTTTACCTAAAGACACTTGGAGGTATTGCAATTCCATTTGATTTAATGCTGTACTTGGCAGTGGAGGTTGTGTTTCACCTGTAGACTGTATAATAACTGGGTGTAGCGTCCGTGACGTTACTCATCTGTTTCTGAAGCAGCGTTTCAAAGCCAGTCAGTAGCGGACGCCATATTGGTAATACTGTTTCAACCAAACGTTTGACCAACCAGAGAGACAGGCCTTTAATGTCCTCGTAAATCAGTTACAGCCTCATGTGGCACTCTGGGGAACTGCAGTTTTTAGCACTTCTGGCTGGAAGTTGTCGCTTGGTTTCTCTCTATTAGAAATGATTTTGGAACAATATTGCATTTTGCCTCTTCTTTATCTTTTACTTTGATAAAATAAATCAAGATCTTGGACCTCTTAGTACATCAGCCATTCTCAAGAGCAACTTTAGTACCAAGTCCCCAATAGAACAAGGTTTTAAACCCCATTTCTTGCTAGAATAAATTTGAACTTTTCAAACATACCATGGTACAACAGTTGCAATAATAACAACTGAAATGGTTGCAACCATTCAGCTAGCATCCTGGTATCTTTAACTTACAACAATGCCATTTGAACTAAGTCAGAAAGTGAGGTGGCATGCAAATGCAAAGGAAAACCTGCGTTTTGCACAGAGCCTACAGATTGGTAGACTGGGAGTTGCACATGAATAAATATGGAGTACACTGGAAAATAAATCCACAGGAAAGTGTCAAGGAAAGGCTTTTGTAAGGCAGCGCAAAACCTGTCTTTGTGTTTTGAGTTTAATTCTAAAAAAAGCTGAAATTTAATATCAAAAATGTTTAAAATTTCATATCAATTTAGAACAATTCTTGCAACAACAAACCTGCACATATGAATCACAAACTGGAACTGAAAATAAAAGTGAACGGATAACCCTAGTCAGTGGGATTCATCCTCTGGGGACTGTGTCCTCTGAGCAAAATTGCAGGACCATGAAATTTATAGAGGATTTGATTCTTTTACTACATTCAGATTCTGAGTCATAAAAAACACAGTAACCTTATATATCATGTGTCTCCCTGGTGTAGATTTCACATCATTTCCCCGAGCTCTTTCTACAAAAATCCCACCATGTCAGCTATGTGAAGTGACAGTAAGGTGAGTAGTGGTGCCATTTAATCTACAGATCTCTCCTCAGCATAGCTCGCGGCATGACGGGCTACATTTATGTTCGGCTGCGTTACTGTCATTGATGAGTCTGTCCCAGTGAGAAAACTCGAAGTGGAGAAGCTTTTGTCTGACTGGAGGAGTCGTCTCGGTGCAACGTCTTTCAAAATAAAACTAAAAAATCTGAAGGAATATCAAACTGTCTTTGCATGTCCAAACTTCCAATGACAAAGCTAATGAGAAAGGTCTTGCTCTTCTCTTCCTCTCTCCCCCCTCTCTTCTTCTGCAGTGTCCTTGGCTCTCTCATTCCTCCAGATGGGCCTCGGTTAGTGCGGCATCTCTCAGGATGACGTGAACTCCAGCTGCCTACTGTTGCTGCTGCTGCTATTTCTGGGCTCGTACCCCCTTTTCACCTAGAAGAAACTTGATACCACCTTCAAATGTGAACATCTGGCAGGCATCACTGAACACGCCGTGTATCAGCAAAGCAAAAAAAAAGGGGGAAACGTCTTTCAGCTTATGTATGTAGTTAGATTTTTATCATTTAATTCACTTTTAAACTGAAAACACTAGCAGAGAAACACAGGTTCGATACGAATGGATCAAAGATGCACAGAAAAACTTTGTTGTCCCCCCACACTGTTGCTCATTTCTCCTCATAGTTTTTAAAATCTGGTTTTTGTTTTGTTCTCTCTGTCAGGTCCCAGTGGAGGCTGGAAATGAAGAATTAAGACAAGAGCAAGTGAAAACAAACTAAGTTGCAACAAAGTCAGAGAACACTGCAGTACTCCAATAACAACACTTCTTGATAAAAGTCTATTTTCTCCGCACACTGTCTCCATATGATGTTATCATTTTTCTTTAAATTCAATAAAGTCTACTCCTGCCGCTCAGATGAAAACTGTATAGTTTGGAGATGAGAACACAATTTTGTGTGTGTGTTTCCCATATGAGGCCGCCTCCTGCAATATGACTTGTTGAAATGCTGAAGATGTACTGCTGTGAGGAGCCACAACAAACACAGATATTTATTAAAATCTTGGGCTTTGTTTCGATTTCCGGTGAAAAAGAAAGACAGAAAATTATCCGCTGCAGCTTTTTTCCTGCATCCGCATTAATGATCAGCCTTTTCTATTTGTATAAGGAGAGGGTAAGTTTGTCCTCAGCCTCCACAAAGTGAAACCACTTCTAGGGGGCACATGCGAACACCTTCTTTCTCTTGTGTTTTCAGCCTTGGGTGAGAGGAGATTAAGCGGCCGTGAGACCCAAGCGCAAAAAATACTCGAGACACATCTCTATCAAATGTTTGGGAGTGACATGAAAAGGCTGTTTTTTTTTTCCTTTGAACACTTTGTTGGGTAGAAATTTACGAGCAATGAATGGCTATTGTGTGAATTTGTATTTTCCTGAATTTGAAGCACCACTTTAGTGAAGTGTTTACACTCCTTTTTTATGGTCATTTTTAAATGAATAGTGTGAACATCAGCTTCTCTTTTTGAATCATGGCAATGAAAACCCTTAGAGAGGACACAATGCATCAGATTGCATGCTCTGTCTCCTATTTCACTATCTCTCTATCTCATTTTGCCACCATATGAAAGACAAGGCAAAGGGACCGTGCTGAGGGGGGGGAGAAAAAGTGATCCCGCCACTCTGCACCCCAGTGGAGCAGAACAGGGGACGCATGTAGAGTCATGAAGACATTCCAGCTCCTCACTAGACCGCTGACACAGGGACATGTCAGAACAGTGGCTCTTAACCTCCTGAGAGAGCCAGACAGCTATACTGTCACTGTTTTGAAAGGACTGGACTGTGATACCAACGCACCACAACCTGTCAGATAATGTGCAGCTTCCGTTTTTTTATTTACTTTGGACTGCTCTATTGGTCTGTAAGGGACAAACTTGTTTTTCCTCCTGTCAGCCACCACAGCCACAAGAATAGACATTTGTTAGTATTGTGCCGCATGAAAACACGATCACATGAAGAAAAAAAACTAGATCTTCGGAGTAAAATCAGCCAAATCCTGAGGGTCTTTGGTGCCTTTCTCTTACATTTATCTCTACAAACACTAACAGTTATGTAAGACCTAAACTGAGGAGGTAGCTGGGGTACTTGAACTTGTTTGCATTCGCTAATTAATAAAGGTAATGAAGTGCAAGCACTCATGTGCCTGCCCTGTAGTGATGGAGTTCAGACTGAGTGTTTGTTACTTGTTGAGTTAGCGATAGACCTCCAAACCTTGACCGGGGCTTTTTGTCTTATGCAGCAACCAGATGAGAACATGAACTCTGTGAAACAGCATAAATTAGAGAGGATAACACAGCTAGAGAGGCTTGAAGTCTGATGTACCATATTCATATAGAGAGTAAAAGCGTAATGGATAGTCAAGTTTTAGACCTCAGCTGTTATTAACATTAAATCAATTCCTGGCTGAAAGCAGTTTGAGAATTCAGTCTGAGTTTGTTTAATCCCTGGAATTACTTTTGCCAAAAGTTGTTTAAATGATTTTATAAATTTTCTAATTTTATTTTTTTATATTATTTTTTTTGTGGCAGACTAACCTCGCATTAACCGCTCAGCTTACATTACACAATATAATTAGAATCAAATATATTTCTTTAGGGGTAAATTTACATGTAAGAAACGGTTGAATTAACTTTGCGATTGTCTAAAATTGAACAGATATTGTTAGCAGTGAGACACCTCTGAAACAACACTTCACTCATTGAATTTCTCTTCGGGGATCAATAAAGTTCTTATCAATGAGATAAAAACGTTGGCCTAAATAAGATCAATCCTTGCATCCCAACAGTAGCCAAATGTTGCTAAAAAGTGGTCGAAAGCTTCAAGCGAGTTAGCGCGCCCCACGTATGGGGACCCTGCAGCGGTTGCGGGCTCGAGTCCAGCCCTGACCGTGTGCTTAATGTCCTTCCCCCTCTCTAACTCAACCCTCTATCTCCCCACGTTTCCACACTATCCTATCAATAAAGGTAATAAACGCCCACAAAATACTTAAAAAAAAAAAAAGTGGTTGAAAGCTTATTTTGCAACAATTTATTAGCCAACAATCTACAGTAAGAAGGGTACAAATTTACTTTCTCTATTCTCTTCGGATAAATCGAGGGTCATTTGTGATTGAGTACTTAATTTCATGTTTTTGTTTAACACCTAGCTAAAGTTATTCGAGCCACCATGAATGTTACAAGTGAAGAAAATATCCATCATGATACATTGCCAATGAATCGCTGAAACAGCACTATTTAGAAATGTGGATTTAAGTCTTAAGTTAATTTCCCTGTAGAATATAGTATATTTTCATGCTAGTGTTGGCAGGTAGTTTAAAATGACAACATTTCATTAACAGTGTGGGAAAGAACGATGTGTAAACTAATGAATATCACTTTCTGCTCCTGTCGTCATTTCTCAGGGGCCAAATGATTTGGTACACTCTGTAGTGTTCACCAACATCCAGCAAACGGCCAAACTAACCATAAATCAGAGAACAGCAGGGAGGGTACACCCAGGAACACTGAGTCAGCTCCAGGAAATTCATGATTTATGCCTGTCTGAGCCATCAATCTCTGTAATCCCCTTAAAAGAAATTAAAAATAAATAAATAAAAAACAGTAATAGCTTCCGAATCCACACCACAAGTCGTCTTTAAGCTCATGTGCCTTAATGAAACTATCATTTGAGGTTTTGGTTTATGTGTGGTGGTCATATACTCTTTGGTGGTGAGATCTATTTCACTGCAATCCACAACACAAAACGTCCTACTGCAGCACGAGTCCTCCGGGGGCTTGGAAAGGCCGTACAAGCAACTGCAGATGGAGGATCACAGTTTCCACATGTTCCACACCCTGTTTTATATAGCTGCTTCAGCTGGCCGAGAGAAGGGCAGAATCCAACCAGGCTGAATATAATTACTCATAGCACACATACGCCATGTACATAACAGGGATATTAAGAAGCAGCCATGTGCAAATGTGTGCACGTGTGTGCAGCAAGTAAAAATAAATGCGAAATCCATCTGAGTTTCATGTTTTTTTTTGCTTTGTGATCCAAAATCAGACCAGTGTGCTCTCTCAGACCTTCTTTCACTTTTTGAATATCCCGTCTCTCAGGCAGAAAAATGAGTGAGATTTCGTTTGACAGCTTGGGTATGGAAACAGAGCCACGGGCTAAAAGAGGTGACATGATATAGACAACAAAGTCAAGTGAAGAGTTGAGGAGAAACAAGGACCCCCTGAAGCGAGATCCAAATCCAGGACTCCTGTTGTGGAAGTGTTAATCTGTCAAAAGTGCCAAAAGAGACTGACAGGAAACAAAGAGGCACTGAGAGAATACACAGACAAAAAAAGGGATGGGAACATGTTGCAGGGATACAGAGAGCTACACACTGTCACACACTGTCATAAACCATCACACAGTTTAGTCTTTGCAGAGCTTCTTCTCTGACAGTGTTGGTGAGCTGACTTAATTTTGTTATTTTGGAGTGACTGCTTTGACAGGTCAGCATCGGCGTTTTGACGAGGGAGTTTAGACACATGTCAGAAACAGCTTCGAAAAAATGCAGTGTGTGCTTTCTGCTCAGGAATTTGACCTGATGTGTCCAAATCATCTAAATCTTCACAGCGGGGGCAGAGAGCTTAACTTCCACATCAGAGACACATCTACGTTTTTTTCCTCTGCGAAAAAGGGCCATTCGTAGGAGTCACGAAACCTCACAAGTTGGCAACATGAGCCGGCCTCACAGTATGGAGCTCCTCGAGGAGTAAAGGTCTCAGAGATGCAACTGTGTTAGGACCTTTGGTAAAGCCTTAGGTCATAGCAGGAGGAAATCCAACACATCCATCCAGTCTTCCCTGCATAAATGAAGGAATCCATGACCTCTAAAGGAAAGCGCTTGAGCAACAAAGAGACACACAAACATCATGAATCATTAAAGACCGTAAGAGCGAACAAGCCGGGTCATAGAGGAAGAAGAAAAAGCCAGAAGTTTATTTTCAATTTAGATAAATTAATCAACTAATTCAAAAGACACAGATAATAAGGGGAAATATTTCCCAGCATCCTCTGAGTTTTATGAGGTTGCATAAGCAGATCAGAGTTTGGATCTCTTCAACAGCTAGAGCACATAACCCCTTAGAGGGAGCAGAAGTTACAAGCAAGCAGAGGTGAGAGGTGGAGTGACGGACAGCTTTACTGCGTGAAGTTATGACCATATAGAGCCATGAAACCTTCTCCTGGTTGAACAGGATGACTAAGGATGACAGGGATACCTAATGTGACTTTCATTAATGATACGCTACAGGCCGGAGGCTGGCGCAGACCAAGCTCAAATTGAAAAGTGCTGAAGCATAACTGTGTCGGATGCCCAGTTTCCTAGCCCCCACGGTCTGACTGATTGAATTCCTGCCTCGCCCATTGAAAGAATTCCCAGACATTGCTTATTCTCCTATCAAGCCGCCGGGTTTGGCTGGTTGACTTTCTAACTACCCTGCCATGAGCTGCCATAGCCGTGACAGTGAATGATTGTGTTGAAAGAGCCCTCAAACATATCTTACAATATCACTAAAAAACCATCATGGGATACAAATATATCATGATTGATGCAAGGGAGAGGAACAGCTGTTCAGATATCGAGTAGATGATTATTGAGAACTTACTCAAACATGTGGGTTTGTGTTCAGTTTTCTACCAGGAAGAGAGTCTGAGTCTGTGTTTGAGTAGCCCAGCAGAGACACTCAGCAAGGAGTCACTCTATTTTAGGGAGAAATACACAAGCCAATCAAGAAAACAGACGTGGAGGTTGACAACTTTTTACAGGACATGCTGAGACTTTCAAAGATGGCATGTCAGGATGTTTGCCTACCAGCAACATCAGTACTATCTAAGTGTGTGTGTGCTTTTTGCTGCCTGACTGGTTTTAAACCAATTGCACTCCAAACTGATATACGGACATAATTAATCAGAAATATTCTCTGTTCAGTTCAGTTTAGTCGTTTGGGCTTCACTCTAACTACATGTCGGGGGAGATCATTTTCATTCGCAATGGACGTTCAGCCTGTAACACAACGTGAACGCCTGTATGTATGTCTTATTGATGTGCTGTCTCTTTTCCTGTAGGTGGTGATCAGACATGGGCTTCATGGAAAAAAAAGGGATGTCTGTGGAAATACGAGAATCCTACAGAATCCTACGTTCCTCTACAAACGTGGTTTTGGCCGACGACCTCTTCAAGTTTCTGTTGCACGTTTTACTTTTGGTTTGTGTTCTTCGTACCTTCTGCAGATGCTTTGATTGGAGAGTGAAGAAGTTTACCGCCAGCTGGTGCACTCGATCCTTTATGACTAAAAGTTTTAAAGTCATTTCAATTATTTCGTTTACTGCCTCAAATATTATTTTGATGATGCAAAATCATTTTTTTGTGCTTTGCAACAAGATTAATGTCAAAATTAATCAAAAAACAGATATTGAGGGGTGCACAGATGGGCCAAGTGGGTTAGTGCGCCCCATATTTCACCCTGTCCTGTCAATAAAGGCTAAAACCGCCCAAAAATTACTAAGAAAAAAAAAAAAAGAAAAACGATATTGAAGACTTTGGTTTAAATTACTAAAAAGATTTAAAGTTAAAAATCATCACACATCTGCTCACTATTAGAATAAGCATATTTAATATATATTCGCCCTAAAATAATTGACCAGAAGCATATCTATCCACTCTGCTGTCTGTATGAATCTCCATACTCAATTATCACTTCCACACCTTAATTTCACACTCTGGTCAAAATACCTGCTGTGTTCAGAAGCTGTTCACACACTAAATTAAAGTTCAGGATGTAGAGGTATAAAAAGAAAGGGAGAAAACTGTTTGCATACATGTAATGATGTGATGATTGGAGGTGTAAGACTGTAGCTGCTAATTAGAGGAGGAAGATTCTCATGCGAAAGGCCCTTCCTCCAGAGTAGAGGGCCTTGTTAACTGACAGGCGAGCCCGGGTGCTCCGGCTGAGGAGTTGGCTGGCTGCTGCTGAGCTGTCTCCCTTCACTGACATCGATAGGGGCTCCACAGGAGGGTGAGGAAACAATGGTGTTGACAAGCAGTATCAGGCCTAGCAGCATGAAGGCAGGGCCAAACGATTCCATTTCCCAGCCAATTCCATTATCAGGACACACAGACTTTACTAATGCCTGAAAACAAACAATACACAAGCATCCTTCTAATTAAGCCCTTGAGTAGCGCTGCTTAGTGCACCGGCATATCTATGTTGGATGCCTGCGAACAGGCTGATTGGATTCATCAGCACTTTTAATGTGCTCCTGTTCCCTTCCAGAGGCCTCTAGGAGGCTCCTGGCTGAATTCAATGGCCCGTCCAATAAATCCCATGTTTCAAGTCCTGAGAGGGAGATTGGGGTATTGAGGCCTTTATTTATTTCTTTAGAAGTACACAATCTGACAACAGCCGAGAGTGGCAAAATGTGGACTACGGCTTATCAAATATCTTAGAAATTATTAACTGGTGCTTAATATTGTGACCATATAACCTTTTTGTTACTCAGCATTTTTTGATTTTACACTTGGTGATACTGTCGTTCAATGGCATGTAAATTTACTTGTACACCTTTGATCAAAATTGAGTGATAGTGCTGTCATACTTGTAGTTTGGTGCACTTGCTTTAAACCAAGCAAAGACAGAGTAATTGCTGCCTTTCAGAGCATGTCAGTATGGATGTTGACATTTGCAGGGTGAGAGTTGGGGAAGAAAACTCGCAAAGAGTCGAATTATCAGCAGATATATGTGGGTATGTATTCAAATATCCACAAACTGACCCCATGGGGAAAAACAATGAGAAACAAACAACTAAATAAAACAGCTCAATGCAGAATTACCAAAACTGTCAAGAGTATCAAGGGCAGTGATCGGCCACTAACTTGAGTTTAATTTGCCTCAATGAAAATTTCAGTTAAATATAAATATATATATATATATATATATATATATATATATATATATATTAACTCAAATACACATAATCAGGTGGAGTGCGCTACTTCCTTAAGTATGAGACAACCCTCATTACAAAATGGTCCTTATTTTCAAGACATAAGTGTTAAAATATACTTAAATATATTTTAATTAAAAAATTGTGAAAACAAACATAATAAAGAAAGAAAGAAGGTCCCATCTTTTTCATATCTTCTAAATTAAATCTTATTTTTAGCAACTTTTGATTAGTGTTGTTTTTGGCGCCACCTATGGACAAAGCAGACTTTGCGAATTTTGTCCCACAAATGTGTAAGAAGTGTTTCATGTCAAAAAATTTCATGATTCCCTTTTTTTAAGTGGTTCACTCATTAACAACCTGTATGTGATTTATTAGAAAAAAGTTGCATCAATAGTTTGTAGTAGTCTGGGTCTGACACCTGCCCCCTGCAAGAAGTTTCAGGCATTCAGTACATTTGCATGCACTTAAATCTTTTCCTACAGTATGACTGAAACTATACTTTTAAAATGCATGTCAATGCGTGAATCCAACTGAAATCAAACTTCTTATTGAAATACCTGTAAGCGATTAGAGATCAATTTTCTCAATTAAACTGAAACTGGCCTAAGTGTTCTGTGAATACCCCAGAGTTTGCACGCCAAGTTCTGAGCTGGTGGTTGAATATCATGAAGGTGTTGCTTCAAAGTCAGGTAGTAATAAACCTTAAGAGATGGAGAAAGGGCGTAAAGAAGACAAAACTTTCTTAACAAAAATCACATCACATTAACCTATGCTCATGAGTTTTTGTTGTCTTTTTTTGATATGTAACACATCAACCAGGACATAGGTCATGAAAATTACTTCTCTAAATCTAAATCTAAATATTACTGAAAATAAAACAGTAAATTGAGAAGAACAGAGTGAGAACTGTATGGTTGAGTTCCTTTCCTGCACAGATTCAACTTAGTCCCACTTTCTTTGAATTCCCTAGAGGTTAAAAATGAAGAAGTTATCATTCGAGACAGGCTTTCTGTGTTTTCACAGAGATAAAGAAGTTAATGACCAAAGACCAAGAGAGCGAGGGTCAAGACAGCGAGATAAACAAAGTCAGTGAAACAGCCTAAAAATGGTCATTTAGTCAAATGCTTGAAAGAGAAGTGGACTCGCAATACCCGGAGGTGTACGAAATTAATTAAATGGCAGCACACATTCTTACTGTCCGCTTCTTTTCACAAGGAAGCAAATTAATGAGGTGATAACCCAAGGACTCTCCTCACTTTTATTTTGAAGATGACTGTGCTCTTGAATGCTCCATTTGATGAGAGAGAGGAGTGATACATAGCGGCGAGGTTTCATATCTGGCCGGCTTGTAATTCTTTCCTTTTTCAGTGAATGAATTGTGCAGCTCCAAGGCTTCAGTCTGCTCGAGTGCTTGAATTAACAGATGGAGGTCTTACTCTTCATAAAGAACATGCTTGAATCCAGGCAGCGGGTATCTGTGCGAGGATATATACTCTGGCAGACACATTTAAAAAAGAAGATAATCTATGGCTTCTAATGTAGAGAGGTTTAATTATGATACTCTTAGGTATACGAGATGTATGTCGGAGCAAATTGGACCATTCATAAGTGTTGGTGGAGCTTATAAAAGTGAGTAAACATTCTGTAATATGTTCTTGGAACATACTATTTTGGCATTTTACGTTAATCAACACTATAATAAAATGAGATTTTACACCACACCACAGGAATACATTGAAACCAGCTGTGGTAACACTGGAGCTGCCAAGTATCTTGAGCATGTACTGTTTGTACTTCTTATAAAAAGACTTTCATCATCCATTTAAAGCCACGTTACTATAAGTGCTATTAACCTCCTTCAAGTGGTTCAACTTCTGTCATTTTTCTAAAGGACAATAAAGCAGACTCCACTTTCACACATGGATTTCCTCAAGGTTCACCCTCAAGTTCAACAACCCTCTCAAGAGCGTCTCAACAGGCGGGGCCCTAACCATGATATACAAAGGCGGACTTGGTCTACTCATTTCTACACCCTGAAGAGCGCCCTTCTCGTAAACGTTTGTTTGATGTATAAAAAAATATCTGCAAACATAGATAAATTATGATTAATTCAATGACTTCACAGTCACATTAGTAGGCGGACCGAGTTAGTGAGCGCTGAGACGACTGGTCTTGAACTCTCTTAACTCAGCATATGCCGGGGTCCCTGCACAGTTCCAGCATCCCATGCATATCAATATCACAGTCATGTAACAGAGACTCGGCATTCACAGTGGTCACTTGTGTGTGTTAAAGTGATTTCAGATGGACTTTTTATAGAATTAATAATAGAAAACAAGGAAGTAATGACAGCATGATGTGATGCAGTTCGTATGACATCACTGACTGTTGCACACACACTGTACAGTTTTGGTGGTCAAATGACACATCTGTCACCCCCAGCTTAAAACTTATTCTCTCGTTACTCTTGAATAGGAGAGTCCTGGTACAACTTTTTAACTTCCAATATGAAACCGAAAGTGTAGCCTTCAGTATTAGCCGATACCGATATTGATCCTATATTAGCACAAACCTGCGCATGGCAACTTTTGCACTCAGCAACAACGTCTTTTTTTTTTAACTTTAATGAAAAATACTGCCACAGCACTCCTACTCCTTGCTACTTTGTTAGTACCTTTGTACACACTGTTGTTGTGACTACATGGGATAAGCATGCTGGAAATGGGCACCGCTAGCTAGAGATGCTGGAGCGGAGTCTGGAATGGACTGCTTGTATCAGAGTGGTTACATCAAAGATTTTAGATGCAGGCTGATATAATCCGATATTTGTTTTTCTTGACTGATATCTGATATTTTGATCGAATCTGGACATCCCTGCTCTTGAGTATCCATTAACTCAACCAGGACATTTAGCAGGACTGTCTCTTTATATTGATAGGTTGACCATATTCTGAATCCCCAAAAAGACGACACGACTACGCAGGGGAGGAGTCACGGAGTCGCACAAAGTTAATTTTGAGAGTTTTTTGGGTTGGATCGAGTGTCTTTTACGTGCTTCTAATTCATTAAGTCCACATGACACAAACTCTAAACTTCCATACAAAACCCTGGACATTTGAAGGATTTTATAAACTTCCCCGGACAAAGTCAGACAAGGCCAGACAGCCCGAACAGCCCCCAAAAAGATGACATGTCTAGCTAAAAGAGGACGTATGGTCACCCTTTGTATGATGACTTTCTTAATGATTCTGATGAGATAATGCAATAGATCTGTGAGATATGAACTGCATGCAAATGAGCGTGTTGAATTTAAAGTTTTTTGACTTCTAAGAAACAGACTTAATTTGTATTAATGGCTTTTTATGAAATACAAAAGCAAACAAGACCATTAGTAAGATGATTAATAATTTCTATAATGTAATTTTAATGCCTGAAACTAATGCGATGGGTTAGATGTCAGCAGAGAAACTAAAAAAGAAGTGCCCCCCAAGCTCAGAGGGGATGTCTGCTGCCACAGTGCAGATAACACAAATGGAGGTACGCTCCATTATGAATTTAAAAAAGCATTTAGAAAACTATTACTGTTTCACCCCAACTTTCACAAGAACATCAACAATAAGAAAATTGTAGCTAAATCCTCTGTGTCCTTCTCCCTCCGCACACACATACAGTGTATCATGAAGGCTACTCATGCAAGAATGTGAAGTTCATGCCAAGCCTCCCCCCATCAAGGTTTGTGGTTGAACTGGATTGTTTTAAGGGGCATCTGAATGAGTCCCAGTGCAAGAAAAGCTGCCAATTTTCTCTGAGAAAAGGCAACCTTTTCAGCGATGGAGTTGCCTCTTGCACACTGAGTAAAACACAGGGTTGGATTTAAGTTCTGCATTGCTGACTCTTACTTCACAGGGTCTCAAGTGTAACAAAGGTATTCAATCCATCTGTGCTAATAAGTTTTATTACATCTATTGGCTCTGCAGAGGCGCCTGTGGACTTGCAGGCGGAGAGGGATATGGATACGCCGCTGCTGTGTCAGATACTGTGTAGGTTAGACTGATTCTGTTAAAGGTCAAGGTCTTTTTGCTCCTCAGAGGAAGAGGAATGTGATAACAATACTAATCTCATACCAGTTCACTCAGGCCATATCAAAGCTATCGATACCACCTGCAAACAATGCAGGAAAAAGAAGAAAGTACAGAGAGTGAGGAGGCCAGAACAAAGGCTCTTCTGTGTGGTACTGGTGCGGCATGTAGGGATAAGAGGAAAAATCAGAGCAGAGCTAGTTCGATTAGATCTCTCTTCAGGTATTCAGTCTATGAGTATAGTTTGTGCTGTCAGTTTGTGTTGAAGGTCTCCTCCTCCACACACTTTTCACGCACATCTGTCTGAGTACAGCTAGAGAGGCTCAGGCTGGTACCGCCTTCTCTCCCTTCTCTTCCTCGCTTCACTAGGGGAGAGATAGTACAGATAAAAGAGGGCGTTTAAGCTCTGCCACTTGTGGAGAGGTCTCATCTTCAGCCTCGGGTGGTGTTCAAGCATGCTGTGGAGATTGAAGGCGAATCAGAGACACTGCTCAAGGCCAAGATTCTTCCTACAGCAGTACGAGTGTTATACACAGGAAGAGAGAAAGAGATATAGAGAGGAGAGACGGTAAACAAAGAAGAGGAGGAAAGGGAGGGAGGCTGCATCTTTATTCATTGTGAGAAAAATGAGGATGAAGAGGCTTCATTGGATGCCTCATAAGATACAAAACATGGAGGCAAAAGGCTAACTCTCTCGCATTCATCAAGGGGTTCAGATTTGATTTTAAGCCAAGCACAAGCCTCGATTCCTTCCTCCCTTCCTTCCTCGCTCGATTCCCCCCAGACAGACAAACGCACAGACAGATACAGACTATCTCTTCATTCCCGGACTCACATCCTGCCAGCCTTTCTGTGCTCTACAAATCACCGGCGAAAAACATAAAGTGCCAGCAGTAATTCCAGCGCTCATTATTCTTCATTAAAGAGGAGAAAAGCACCCAGGGCTAGATCATATTTGCTGTTAACTAAAGTTTCGGAGACAATTAGCTCAGGTTGTTAAAATTAATCTTTGTTACAGCCATAATCTCTGAGGCCAGCAGAAGCACCGAGCATTTATGGTTTGTTTATTTGAGCGCCTCCTGTGGATATCGACCCGGCCCTGTTGTAAACAGTGGGATAAGGCTTTCTGCGATCGCTGGGTGGATTTGCTTTCTGCACGGGCATGAGCCGTCCAATTGTGACCTAGATTAGACGTACAAAGAGGGAAAACACAAGCTAAAACCATTTAATGATTACAGCGAGTTTACCCTGACAAACTTTCTTCTTCTGTTATGAATATTTGACTTTCGCAACATCCCTCCTCTTTGGTACGAAGATGTTGAATGCTCCTGTCAGCGAGAGGGATTCCTTTCGTTTGCATGTCTTAAAAACTCCTATAGCAGCGTTCCTGTGTTACGCCTGCATGTTGTCATTCCACCAGTAGGGTTGTAAATATCAAAAGCTCATAGCATCTGATGGAAGTTTCCATTATGCTAATCTAAGCAGTTGTTTTTTCACAGCACTGCTAAAACGACCTGAATAAAACATCCCTCTAAAATGAAGATGCGCCGTTTTTGCATTTTTCTTTTTCAATTTTATCCCTCCAAAGCATTTCATTCTGCGGCGAATTGTGCGCAACTAGATCCTATATCTGGCTTAAATTAATTGGCCGATCTTCTTTTTTTTTAATAGGCCTTGGGGTCTGCCTCTAAGCAGCGACCAGAAACTAATAGCCCTGGTCATGCTGCATGAAAACCATATAAACATCCCCGCTCGGATCCACGGAAACATACACTCGCAGTCCATCACTTTGTTCCGTTTTTACCTCGACTTTCTCGAGTCATGGGACGGGCGCTCTCTCTACAAAGACAGTTGAGATCATGATACATATTTATGCTGTCACGCTTGGCTGTTTATGGTTGGTAATTTGCATTAAACCTTTGCCTGGTTCGTGTTAAGAGACAGGACACCTGAGAGACATATGGCAGGGGGATGGAGGAGCATGAATACCCCAAGACGAAAGGCACATACGATGTGGGAATGTGGGAAACACACTCACACATACACAATCACACGCCCACGTTTCCTTGGACCTGGGTTAGGCCTCGGAGGACGCTGGTAATACCCTGTATAATGCCCCACATCACTTACCGAGAGCATCTGCAGCAGGCAGACTCATTTAGAATGGATGTGCTTCAGGCAGCTATAAGGAATTCTATTATTGCTTTCAAAAAGACCAAGTATCTATATGGAAATTTTTTTCTCTGCCTACTATATAAACCTGCCGGATAGTCACATGGTAATCCCAGAGTAATTAATGCTTCCTCTGGCAAAGGGGTGATTAATGCAGGAGCGAGTACTGGGAACATATGGGTTTTAAACGCTAACTATTGGAATATTCAGTGGACATGTGGGTAAACACACCTGTTTTCCCGAGGCGCTGGAAAGACTAAATACATTTAAGTATGTAAAGGGATGGATTAATTTATGGAAAATACTGTATCTGTGGCTTGAATTTGAATCAGCATAGAACTTAAATATTATTAAGTGTGGAAAAAGGGAGTGGATTTCATCGCATTGGTTGCTCTCAGGCACAACCCTTTGCAGCATGTCGTCCTGCACACTTCCCGTTTGAATAAAAAGCCAAATACATACAACCCTAAACTGATGCCACATTCAAACGCTTAAGTTTCATCCTCTAATAACATGGTGCATTCTTCCTTAAGATAGGACTGCAAATCGCTATAAATAAAGCATGACAAATAACATCTAAAGTACAGAAAATATACATAGAATATAGTATGACATCAAGAAAACTACCTTAATCAGACCTAAATGAACATTTTCAGGTTATTTTACAAAACAGCGAGCTTTTGTGCTTATGTGTGGCTTACAAGGGAAGCACATACAGTGTTTTTACTTGGAAGACGAAACATTTTCATGTAATAAAATCAAAATGTTGACGTGTTCTGGTGAGAGAGATTTTAGCTGTACTAGTGTTTAACTGGAACAGGTTTAAGACCCTCTTAAATGGTGACTTCCCACCAATACACCTGTCTGATGCCTCTTTTAATAGTTATTTATTATGACTCCCCCTTTCTTCTGAATTACCCAGCTGTGTTAAATACTTAATTCTGATTGGTCATGGCCCTATAAGAACAGTGAATTTTTGAAAGCAAAGTTAAATACCAGATGATGAATGTTTCAAAAACATAACTTCCCTTTAGTTTTCTAAATTAGAGGCTTAAAAAACAATGAGAATTATTCAATATCCATCATAAAATCCATACATCAGCAAAGCTAGTAAATCCATCTCAAAGCTGCTGATCACTAAAAAGTAACTTAAGTGGCAGTGAATATCGCAACAGTGTTTAAAGGTCTTCAGTTATGCTAAAGGCCTATCACCTCCAAAGCTCAGAGCTGAATAAGGACAGAAATTTAAGCATTATTAATTCTGCAAAATTCCCTTTGCTTTGTCTAATTTTGGCTCAAAGAGACAGATCCAGTTTGAAGTCGCTTCTTTAAGAAACAGGCCAATGTTTGAACATGACCATGAACTAACATGTTCAGATAAATGTTTATTCATCCATTGGAGGTGCTACCAACCCTGGAATTTCCTTTTAAGCTACAAAAACCTAGTTTGGAGTCAATAAAATCTTCTTTAAATCAGAATTTTGTGAGTAGTAATTCAGGTGAAGACATTTATTTGGTCAGTTAACTAAAAGCAAATACCGCTGATGTTGGGTAGAAAGATACAAAGATGTCTAAAAGAAGGTAAGAGAAGACAAAGTGTCCAAATAACAAAAAAAAATTTTTTTTTTTCTTTCATGGCTATATTTCAGTGTCAGGATACATTTTTACACAATTTCAGCTCTAAATATTTTACTTGAGTTTTATTGAGCCCATTTTGAAGGATAGGTTTAACAGGATCTCCTTGAAAACACAGCCAAAGCACTGAAACATCTGCAAACCCTGCAGCAGCTTCTCCCATCTCCTAAAGTAAAAGCAAATTTACAACGAAACACCATGTGCATCTCACTGCCATAGTCCTCGCTTCCTATTTTGCCATCTCACTCCTTCTCACCTCTCTATCACTCTCTCTCCGCCTGTTATTAGCAGTTCTTTAATAATGAACCCAACAGGCGTCCTCTTCATTAGACAGGCAGGGGGAGAGAAAGGCCAGCGAGCCGGGGCTGACCCTGCTACACTCTCCCCTCATCGGGGATCTGGCACAGGAATTTTAATAGGAGAGCAACGCGGGCAGGCAGGTCAGTCCAGGAGACACACTGTGCATGCCAATCTGTGCTGACCGACCGGCGTGAACACAGCACGTGTGCCGCGCCGCTAGCCTGACAGCCTGTAAAGAGCGTGGAGGAAGGTGAAGGGAGAGGAGATAGGGAGGAGGGAGGGGATGGAGACAAGTGGGGGAAAGCAGTGTTTAAGGGATCAAGAGGGACAACACTAGGATGTTGAGGAGCTATTCTGGTGAGAGGAGGAGGAAGAGGAGGAGGAGGAGGAGGGAAGGCCATGGTGACAAGGGCCTGGTGGCAAACTGAGACAACTGTTAGTGTGCTTCCCACACTAATAAAGCCGCTACGGCTCTTACTAATTACCTTTTCATTTATGCCGAACCAAAAGCTTGTTAAAGGACAAAATATAAAATGTGGATGCAACTTGGGGACTGCTTTGAAGCGCTTTAATTGTAATTTGAGACTAAAAATGCTAATGGCTGTCTCTCTAAGGAAACAGCATGAGCTGTATTTCATGTCCCCTTCCCAGCCCCGTAGTATAAGCTAAATAAAAGGTGTGAGCTTGCAGTGGGCGTTTAGAGCTACTCCGCCGAGCCGGGTAATAAAGCATTCACTCTCTTCCTCCGTGCTTTAACAGTCTGCCTGTGAGCTACACTTTATATCACCCCTTTTAAAATTTCCCCGCCCTGAACAGCACAGGTGATTTGTTGTGTATCCACCACAGGGGCCGGTGGATTTTCTCTTTTAGCCTCTCTCCCACGGTGGTAATTGCAACGTCGACCTTGATGCAGATAGGATAAATGAAACATATCCTCTGTCAGGACACCGCCATTAGTTGTGCCACAGTATTACCTCATTTCCTCAGTGATCTGTGTAAACATTTCTGATGCTCGGCATGCATTTCCATTCTGCAATACTTTCCCCACAGGCCTCAAAGTGCATTCACAATTGTGCCTCTTCCTGAAGATACTGAATGCATCAATCAGGTTTCATTTTGTGCTCACAGTTAGCAGCCGAAAGCATGAGTTCTCTCTGGGGAAAGGTTTACTCTGATGGACTACCATACCTTTTGGAGATTTGGGGATCTTGCTACGGGAAGGAGAAATGACAGGGTATATTTTGCAACCCAAAATACAGTCTTATGTGGATTCACAAGGAATTAAGATAAAGTTATGAGCAGATATGAGGCCAAAAATGACCACTTCTGCCTAAAGCCATAGATTTGTTTCTTGATACGCTAATCCTGATATTAAAAAGGGGTCAAAGGTGTTATGAGAAATACAGATTGGGTTCCAGAGTGCAGACTTCCCAGAGACTCATATCAGCTTTCCCATACAGAAGATTAATTTCACTGTTTACTAAGCTCAGCCGTCTTTACTTACCGTTAGTAAGCCTCTAAGTCTTTCCTTTGTACCACAGAAGAAGACATAATGGTGGTAGATTTGGTCTTCAAAAGTCCAAATAACTTTCCATAAATAAAAAAAGGTCTTTGATTTCAGACAAAACCATAACAGGCCTCTTGATGTCAACTGAATACCATAATCTCCTACACAAGATTAATGGAAAACATCATGATAAGTCATGATAAGGTTTCAAATGGAGTTTGATTTTTACTTAAAACACTAACAAGTGAATGTCCACCAATAGAGCTTTTCTGAGATGCTCAAAATACACGTGTTTCTTGTGAAAATTACTCATGAAGTCTATTGTTCCTGGGAATTTAAGCTAGCCAAACAATGGTAACAGCTTCAGTTTGCATGAGCCAAATAAACAAATGTTAGTCTGTGTCTTTTACTAAAGCTATTTTTTCTTAGGATTAATAAAGGCCAAACCTTTGAATCCTTAGCAAGCATTTATGTAGCCTTCTTTCTGCACCAGAGCTTACATCCTTCTGACAGTCGTAGTGCAGCTGTTAGTGCAGCTCAAGGCAACCAGACTTGAAAAAACCCAAAGAATCAGGCAGTAATATCAAGACAATGCAATAATAACAATGTATACTCGCAATAGAATGATTTCGGCAAAAGATAATTATGTGTATTACATTGCAATGTGCACTGAATAATGTTAGTTATTATCACTGACATTAACTACCATCCATCTGTTGACCTACTGTGTAAATATCAGCATCTGTATCAGCTGTTTAAAAACCCTGATTGGTCAACCACTAATCTATGACATAATTACAAGAGGTTACTAAACACTTAAAGTTAATTTTTTGTTAATTTGGAAATGAATCTGTAATTATTCTGCAACTTTTGTGTCTATAAAGCAGCAGTTACTGCAGCTAGCATTCGCCCACCTGAGAAGACAACCACCGTACTGCAGATTCAACACATTTGAGAAAGGAAGTTTACAGGAAGTTTACTTATGAAAACCCACTTCATAACTCATCTTTTACCAAGGCAGAGGACCACAAAATGTGACGGTTTATGATATATATGTAATTAGGTTGACTATACGTCCTCTTTTACCCTTACATGTCCTCGTTTTTGGGAGCTGTCTGGGCTTGTCCAGCTTTGTCTGGGGAAGGTTATAAAATCCCTCAAATGTCCACGATTTTGTACGAGAGTTTCGATTTTGTGTCACGTGGACCCACTGAGTTAGAAGCACATAAAAGACACTCGATCCGACTCGAAATTAACTTCATGCAACTCTGTGACTCCGCCCTCTTGTCCTTGCGTCCTCTTTTTGGGAAGTCAGAATATGGTCACCCTATATGTAACAGTACCTCGAACCGCCACCGAAATCTATATTTTCTTCCTAAATCTTTCTTATCCTCATGTGTGCATAAACAAAACAGAAAAAATTGGTAATCTTCACAGAATCATCTTGGCCCATTATCGCACTGATTTAAAAAAAAATCAGATCTTGTTCTCACAATGATATGTGTTGCCATTTTCTCATGGCAGCCAAATGCTCCCATATACGCTCTCACTTCTCCGGTTACGACTAAAATATGATGATGATGCTCTCAAAAGAGGGCATACAGACACAAGATTCATCAAACCTAACAATATTTCTTTTTCTCAATTTAGTTCTTATATTCAGATTTCTCAAAAACGAATTGCGAACTGTAAAGAAAGCATACTCCACAGAGCCAACCTTAAAACCACATATCTGCCTGAGCACCAGTGGGACCGACATTTGCTTTTCACAGGTATTCAGATGAAGTCAATAAATCTGCCGAAGAAACAATAACAACATCAGAAAGAACTAATAAAAATAAATCACCCCTCTAAAAACAAATTCTCGTCGACTCTGACCCATTACTGAGCATCGACTGTGGCTATCATTGTGGAATATGGACTATAAGTCGAGCTCTGGGGATGTGGCTCTGTGTGGTATGTTTTAAACACTGACAACAGCTATATTTCAGACCGGATCACAGTGAAAATCCATAAACACATCACTTGTAATTGTCAACAGCCTGTCTGTGTCACAATCACAACCTGCTTTGTCATGTGTGGAGGACAAAGCCTTTAATGAAGACTCACGTCCTGGGCCTTTGTATTGTTCTCATTTCTTGCCCCGTCAGCTCCCCAAATTAAGAATGATGTTCTTATTTGTCTTTCATTTTATTTGCTACAAAATGCTCAAACTCACACATGGTGCACAGCTTCCTCCATTAGTCCCCCTGGCAGTAAATACTGTAGTGAGAGCTGCTTTTGAAATTGGAAGTGGGTAAAGAAATCAAAACATTTGAATAGTTTCATTTCCTATGAGGTATCCGACTCCTGATGAGAAATGACACTGATGCCTTCAGAATGACTGAAAGCTTCAAAACAAATTCTGCTGCTTCTAATGGATAAACATTCCCACAGATGTTACCATCCGTGCATTTTAAATGTATTAGGTGGAACATTACCCTGCACTCTTGTAATAACCTTGGCGCAGGTGCAGCTGAAATCTTAGCGGTGTATGAATCACCCAAACTGCAGTATCTTTGTGCAATCAAGAATGTTCTCCTGCTGACAGACTGTGCAGTGTTGGGTCATCACAAGCTTTGAAATTGGATTCCAAAAACAAACTTTGATGGTCTCGGCCAAATGATGCAAGCGAAAACTTTCTGTCGGCAGTCTGTGGTGTTGGGGCAGATGGAAAAGTGGGAAGATAATAAGAAAATCCTTGTTCGGTCGAAACTTATCGACATATCAAACAAATAAATAAACACAAAACTTACTCCTTCATTGAAGCAACTCTGCACTTTTGAGTTTCTCCATCTTTATTTTGAGGGGTTATTTGTGACTTTGAGCAATCGTGTTTTCCAACTATTGTTGTCTGTTCTGTTAGTATACTTTCACAATTAATAATGTTAAGAGACAAACATGTCAAAATGTATTTTCTATGTTAGAATTGTTCTGGTATCAGCCTCTGATACTGCTCAAAATACCATGTCTGCTCATGTGCCACTGAGATACCACCAAATATCCCTGTTATTAATGGTTTTCAGGTAAATTATTGTGTAAAAATAACAATAACAGGGCTAGCAGCAAGTCTAGATAGCAAAATGTCCGCAATCAGTGTTTTTAATTGCATACTGTATCTCTAATTGTTGTGGTACTGTGACAGACTGATCTGCAATAACTCAAGTAACCTTTAAAAGGAGGAACTCATAAAATTCATAAAATACAAATGATTCAGTTTTTTAATATTTAGTATTAAGTTACTACAGTGTAATTACATGGTAATAGTTTGTTCCACTGTTAACTGATACTTGAGGATAGAGAGTTATAAGTGAGGATGGGGATCATTAATTTTCATCAACAATGAAACAGTTATCGAGACTCATTAATGGTTCGAGTCCTTAATACACTCCTAAGTATTTTCAGTTATCATTGCTTTTTGAGTTTTTGGCAAATAAAAAATAAAAAAAATCTCTTTTTCCAGGACATGACATTTGAACATATCATGATGATTCTTTACTCCTATTTAAGTCTCATTTTACCAACCCGACCTTGAACACATCAAAGTATAATCACGTCATTTTAGTTGGTTAGCTAACTAGCTTTTATCCTGCCGATCCTAACATTGATTTCAACATTATATTGTGATTTTTAACTGGGTTTGATAGATCTGTTTAAGCTGCATACAGTCAAAGTTAATGCATTTTGGCTTTATTTAATACTGTTCTTATGTGCTTGGTCAGGTCAGCAAGGTTGGAAGTCATTTTTCATTTTCTGCCTTCTCTTTAAATTTCTTACGGATATGCTCCCATAATACACAAGTTCTGGTTAACAGACAGCAAAATAGACAGTTTTAAGAGTCAAACGCTCGCAGAGTTTACACATTTTACAACATGATGGTGTTGCATTGTTTTCCTTGTTGCTGTTTGTTTTTCTTTACCTGTCACTGTCTCACACCTGCCGCTCTCAGCAAAGACAGTAAGATTGGGAGATGCCTTACTATTCACCGATTCCACTCCAGAAAACCAATTTATGTCCGCACACACCATGACAATGAGTACCCAAGAATTTACTGACTATTAATAAACTGTCAGTAAATAGAGTTTTCTGTCAATGTTATATAAATTGTTATAGTAGTAACAGTCGAGTCCAGGTATTAAAATATGCATCAGGAAGGAAAAAAAACATATTGGAACATCTTTTTTTTCTTGATATAAAGTTTGTACTGACAGGCCAGATGCTTTATTTAAAAAATGAAATTAAAATATGGCCACAGTTTGTAGTTTGAGTGCCCTGTAAACAATTCCTCACTACTTTATGAGCCAGCAGCATTAAGAAGCTAAAAATACTCACACACGACTCTTTGATGATATTGATTCATCCAAAGTAACCGAAGAAGTGTGACTTATCTGTCTGCTAACAAAGAAGCTGTATGACTAAAAATATTTGTCTGTGTTGGTATTTGCGGATGCTCGCATTCAAGTCCACAGCTGTGAGTTAATGTGTAAAATGTCCATCGGTTTCACCAAAGCTTCATATCAGTCCTGATGCATCAGATTACCCCATCAGAGTCCGCACGTCCAGTGAGGCCATCAGTCCGACACTAATCCGCCTTTGATGAGTCGAGCTTCACAGGAAAAGCACTGACATTTCGCACTAAGGCCTTCTCCCTTTCCTTCTGCCACGCACGGACGGACCTCAGCTCCAGTGAGATGCTCTTTCATCCCGACCTCGGTGAGATGAGGGTTTGGATTCAGATGACTGGTGGATTAGACAGCAGCTCACAGGGGACTGAGAGACTGATGTCTGAGAGAAGGACTCAGGAGATGAGGCCGCAAAAGCAGAGCGAGACGACGCGCAGGTCCACGGTCAGGGTTAGTTGGAAAAAGTCAGAACGGCTCAAGGTAAAGGGCAACACATGAGGCAAATTGTTTACTCCGAAATGTAAGCGATATCAGTCAGGAGCTTATCGGAGTAAAAACCAGGAACATGTGATTGGATGTAATCACAAATCTGAAAACAAGGGAATCTACAAAAATAATCCAGAAGAGATTATCAGCTCAACAAAAAAGCAAAAAACGTAAAAACGTTCACTTCTGACCCATGCTATATCCAAGCCTCTACAACGGATGTCTGTCTTATCAATTATGAATGACACTTTATGACTTTTCTATGTGTGCAATATCTCTAAAGTACTTTAAGCTTTCTTCAACAGAGAACCGGGCATGTATTATGAAGTTCTCTGCAGCCGTTGTACCTGCAGGTATGATTTTCCCAAAGGCTGATCTGGTTTTAACTCTGGGAGCAGAGTCTTTGAATAAAAGTGAAGATGGTTCTTTAGGAATTTAAAGTTTCAGAGTACATGAAGAATCTAAACTACTCTAGACCAGAGATTAAATTCAATGAGACATGGAAATATGTAAAAGTATCTTAGTAACATCAAGTCTTTATAGATAGCAAACACCAGTCAAGAAGATTTATTCAAGATGCACTCTATGATATCTTTATTGGTCAAAAATGTGCTGCATCCTAAAAACCAGCTCAACCAATACTGGTACAAAATGAGAGGGCAGGGTTCCTACGCAGTTGGAATTTTCATACTTTTCCATGCTCTACTTTTTAGAATTATTTTTGGAAATACCTACTTTTCTATTTTTAGAAAACAGTATTTTAGAACTGTGGTAATAGTCCTGAAACATTGATTTTTATACTTTATTTTTCATTTACCGTACTTTTTAAGACCTGGAGATTGATCAAACTACTTCCATACGTTTCGATACTTTCCATACTTGCGTAGGAACCTGGAAGAGGGATAAGTCCTCATATACAGAGGACAGCTTTCCCCCCTCATTAAGTCAATATTATGGTCCAAAAAGACAGCAATATTCAGTAAATAAACTCTGGAGGCCTGCAAAAAACTGTAAGCATCCAGTACACCAGTGAATCTTTTAATATAGTTGTTTCAAAAATTGTGCACGCAGAGGCTCCTGAGAGTGAAGATAGCCTAACTCACTACAGCCAATCAGGTTCTTTTCTCTTCCAGACTCGCCTGTCTTATCTCAACATGTTTGACCAAAACAAACATATTTATGGCTTTTGCAAAGTTGAGCAGAACTTGTGAGTGACTCATCTGAACACCTGAATCACCGAGTCTACTTCTAGTAATTAGACGGTTTCCCAGAATACATAAATTACACTGTCCTGAGCTCCATTGGAAAACAAAAAGTACAAGGTTAATGATAAGATAATTCATGAAACAAATACATGCCGGTACTCGAACATCAGTTTTATTTAGTTTGTTTTGCGGTTTAAAACTCATTAGGAGGAGGCACTTCACATCAGCATGCTGGAGTACTTAATTAAGATTAAATGAAGCTCTATCAACGTTGTGTTCACTAATAATCAGGAGAGCGTCATTGAATTGAGAGAGACTGTTGAAGTAAGTCATGTGTGGACGACACATTTTGTCTTCAAGTAGAAACAGATTGCATCTAAAAGCATTAAAATCCAGGTAAATTTAGTTGATTATCTGTCAAATGTGGAGGATAAAATACTTGCCTGATGCTTTCATGTAAGTGGATACCTGATGAACGCATCTAGTGCTTGTATAAATGAGTAAAATCCTCGGTTAGATTTTTAACTAGAGAGAAAGAAGAGTATCATATATCTACACACAGTTGGTCCGGTTCCCACGGGAGATTGGAGTTGTTTGCAAAGTCCTGCTGATCACTTTTAAAGCACAACTTCCTGTTAGCTTAACAGAGCCTGTGCAGTCAATGTTAATAATGTTACTCTTGGTCCACAGAAATGAATCACAAAAAGGTGACCAAATATTCTCTGTTCAAGAAGCAGGGCCTGGCAGTTTAAGTGAATTACTCACATTTACAACTGTGTGCAAGTTGTATTTAGGAGCACCCATGCAAATAATAAAAAATGCCAAGTGAGAGGTGATAATGGCCCGATATGGGTGTCTAGTAGGGCTGCTCGATTACTGCAAATATCCTTATCACTGTAAAAGTATTAGCATCTTTAGTAACCCAAATTTACACAGAGAGCACCACTGCTCAGAGAAACTCCAACACTGAACCCCCGTGTGAACATCATCTAACCTACTGAGCTAACCCAGCCTTGATTTGAACTCAGTGTCACACCCGTACGTTTACATGGCACTTGAGAAAAACGAGTTTTTGTCTTATTCCGATTAAGACCGGACAACTGAAGTGTATGTAAACACGTTAGTCCGACTATAATCAGAGTTTAAGAACTTCGATTGGAGTCAGAGAACTCCGATTGGGACACCCAAATTTGATTTTCACTGGAATTCGATTTTCTCCACCATGTAAGTATGATTGGACAATACATGTGTGTGTGTGCCGTGCCCCCGTAACTCTGGAACAAAAACACCAGAGAAGAGTAGTAGCGTGCATCTCATCCACAGAAAAAGTAGCGCGTACATCATGTACGACAAAAACAACACTATACAATGCTCCGTCAAAGCAGTTGTAGCCACTTCTGACGCCTGGCACGGACCTGCTATCGTTGTTGATGGTTGTAGGGTCGGAAACAGCGCCGCCAAAAAGACCCCAAAATAATTAAATTTTCTCAGCTGCATGTATACGCAGACAAGGAGAGAAAAAAAACGAATTATGAGCTTGGTCCGATTAAGCTGTGCATGTAAACGTACTGACTGACAGCTTTACTACTGGACAGTGAGAGTAGTTAGCCTGACTCGCCCCTTTCTTCTGAGCTGTCTTTGAAGATATTTTCTCTTTGAGGATGAAAGTCTAAAAACTCAAACCCTTTGCCAGTTTTTATGATTACCGCACACCCCTTTACATTAAATCATAACCAATTTCTCTCTCTTGTTTGCCCTACATTCAGCTACTCTCAGATGTTTTCTGCCCAGAAGCTACTGACAAAAAAATAAGGTGTTTAATTTCTAACCTAAAGGTAAAATATAAGCGCTAATTGTTACATTTCCAGGAGATGCAACACTGCAAGCCTTTAACACACAAGTGAAAATGTAGACGTCTCCTGCTGTAATCCCAGCATGTATAACCAGGAAGTCATGCTGGGCTAACCACATTACACAATAGCAGTGCTGCTGTGGATCCTGTAATACCAGGAAAATCCTGAGAAAAAATACATTTAGCTTTCAGAGCACAAGATCAATATCTTCATACACCGCTTTCAGAGGCATGTTGGTTTTATGAACTAAAAGCTCTACGGCTGCTGCTGCCTTCACTCTGGTAAGTTAGCACTGCAGACCTGACTGATTTAAGAAATAATAAAAAGCTAACAGCTGGTCCACTGCTCAGCTATTGATTCCCCTCAGCAGAGGCAGATCAAGAGGTACATTTATGATCAGACAGGGTGCAAGAAATTAGACCGCAGCACAAACCCGCTATTGATTGAACGGAGTGGTGTGAACTGTTAAAAAGTTAACCACTGTGTTCACAATTCTGTACTGCTGGTGGTATAAGAGGAAAGGAAAGGAAAGGAAAGGAAAGGAAAGGAAAGGAAAGGAAAGGAAACAAATTCAGCCACTACACCAACATTTGTTCAATTCCTTGGATTCAGTGAAATTCAATCAAAGCCCAGATTTAAACCTTTCCTTTAATGTGACTTACAGCTCATTCATTACTTTGATTAATTGCACACACCTTCATCACAATAAGTCAAAAATCCAGCTTCATATTTTCTGTCTCTGCAGATTATAATATTTATTAATATCAACCTGACACATCAAAGCTTTTAGGTGTGCATATATTTGCAAAATAAACATTAAATATACTTGAATATTCAAAGCAGCAGCTGAGCGAATCTGCATTTTAACTCGGCATCTAAATGGGGAAGTGAGAAATTATAAGGAATATTAAACAAACAAGGGTGTACCAGTTTATAAAGTGGCAACGGTTATTTTCTTCAAAAGCCTATGAATGTAATGTCCCTTTCCATACACTTATTTCTCACAATTTATTACTTAGAGAGATGACAGAAAGAGTTAATAGTTACTGTCTATTAATTGATTTTTGCTTTAAGTTGATTGGACAGTTGGACAGAACTGTAGCCTCTGTACACTCCCAGTAATTAGTCAAGATAATAATTAGAGATGCAACGATCCATTTTTTCCGATCCAATCTGATACCGATACCTGGGCTGAGCGTATCGGCCGATATCTGATACCAATCCAATACTACTGTTGAATATATGAACTTAATACCTTGTCCTGTCAGTGAAGGCATCAGGCTTGACATTAGCTTTGTTAAAAAAAAGGTTACAAATTAACACAGATATAAATTTACTTAATAATATTAATAACAAATTGCACATTAGCACACAGCAAAAAGAAGTAAGACTTCCATGTAAACATTTAGTGCAAAAGGATAGATAGACATAGAATATAGAGCAAACAGAATTGCTGTTTTGCTGTGTATGATATTAATTAAGAGAAAAAAAAAGACTGGATCAGAACGCTGGATCGGTGTCATTGATCAGATATTCGATCCAGTTAATTTGTCAATATCAGAGCTGATATTCAATCCAAATATCGGTTCGGTGCATCCCCAATAATAATAATAATAATAATAATAATAATAAAGGATTTAAAACCCTGCAATTTCTCCAATTTTTTACTTTTGATTTAAAAATCATTTTTTTAAGATAAAGGTGGAGGAGCCTGTTTATGATAGCACCAGTTAAATGTTTTTTAAATAAGATTTTTTTATAGATATCTTGGCCCACTACTTCATCAGGACCTTAACATTTGACAAATCTCAGCCTTTGAGATACACCAATAAGGACTTAGTTGATTTCTCCTCCACAAGCACGAGCCTCGGCATTAAACACACAAAACAATGTTTTGCATAAAACAAGATTTGCTTGTCTGCCCCATTACCAAAGTGAACAGGTGAGCGGCTGATTAATTGAATGAACAAATGACTGTGTGTGTGTGTGTGTGTGTGTGTGTGTGTGTGTGTGTGTGTGTGTGTGTGTGTGTGTGTGTGTGTGTGTGTGTGTGTGTGTGTGTGTGTGTGTGTGTGTGTGTGTGTGTGTGTGTGTGTGTGTGTGACTCCTGCCACAGCACAGCAAGGTGTGTCACTGCCTCCCTCTGGTACTGCAAGGAAGCACACACACACACATACACACTTCACTTGACTGTGAAGCAGAGAGCCTCAATAAGCACCTTTTACTTTTTTATAGACCTATAAGAGCTGAACTTGTCTCTGTTGTCAAGTTGATTGAAATGGAGTATGACAGAGAGTTTCCCCACTGTCAGATCAATCTGCAGACAGTCACAAGCACAGATCAGGGCATGGAGCTGTTGCTTCTGCGGCACATGAACTCAGGTTTTAACTGAGATTTTACTGTGCTGGATAAATACAGAGCGAGACACAAAAGCTTGTCCAAGAATGAAAATCTTTGAAATTCGATAGCTTGCTCGTCTAATATTGTTGTCTTTATTTTGCATTGTAATCTGAGCGAGGAAAAAGATCTTGTTTCAGCTTTGCTTGCATAATCCGAGAAATCTAAGGAGTGACAATGTGCTGAAAGGATCCATTTATCCACAACATGCATTGTAAGACTTTGACATGATGACGTGAGCGGGGATACCAGCTGCAGGAGGAGGAAAAAAAGCGCTTAAACAAAATAATGATACATCCAGACAAAAAAGAAAAAAAAGTGATGGGATTATTTAACAGATTGGATCAGATTTACAGGGTTTGTATAAGGATCTGGATGAATAGATTTAAACAAAGCTGTTTCTCAGCAGCCTAAACAGCGCTATCGTCACACTATTCTCCACCGTCTCTCTGTGTTTGTTTGATAAGAAGCTCCTGAGCATCCTGTCTAAAAAAAAAAAAGAAAGAAAAAAAAGAAAAAAAAAATCAGCTCTCTACCTTTCAGTATCACTCACATTAATGCCCCCCTCCACCCTCGCAGTCCCTCGCCTTCTCTGTCTCCACAGACTCCATAATGACATTTGGTCACTGTAAACAGCCATGATGGTGCTGTTAACTGCGAGAAGGGAGGTGGTTGTCACGGTTACCTGATGCAGCATGGTGCTGGACCATCTGCCATGCAAAAAGAGAGACAGCTCCCTGCTCACTGCTGTAATTACAGAAAACCCCGAGAAGCCAGTGAGTGTGTGCGGGGACACAGGAGGGCGAGAGATGTGTGCGAGACAGAGAGAGAGAGGGAGAGAGGGAGTCATCTGTGTGTATGTGTGTGTAGCAATCAGCCAATGTATATAAAATGGTATGAATTATATCCCATAACAGGATGTCCCAATCCAATCGGGGCGGATCAAAGCCTTTTTTAATAGATCCATCCGTTCCAGCTACAGCACATAAAGCATGTTTCACTGCCGCTTCTTTGTTTGGTGTTACCCATTGTTTTTGCACATACACCAGCTGTCAAAAACACCCCATTGTGCTCCATTCAAATACTACAACTGTTTTCTTTCATACCCAGAAGTGAGCAACACGGCCATGAAGTGAGCAAACAAACGCGCAGCAGCCAGAGCTTTAGATTAATGCTTTCCACAGCGAGATAATAAGCGAGCGAAAGTCGCCGCAATGGTCAATTTGCTCTGTGTGCACCACATCTGACACACTGTAAAGGCTGCTGCGTTTACACTTCCTATTTTAAGTCGAGAAATGACATAAACCATGCAGGGTAAAAAAAGAAATGGTGTGATTACAGTCTTGGAAAACTGGGTTCATGTTCTTGTGCTACATGTTGCAGTCAGGACTCAACTATGTATGTAGGTATAAAATATAAAATACATATTGTCTTGTTATGTAATGTCCTCCTCTGTGTTTGAGTATTATACGTACAGAAATTCAGTATTATATATAGGTGAAATATTAAGTTTGTGACCGTCTTTAAATATTATAAATATGTAAAGCTAAAATATCACTTTAGGAACTGTTGATAAAAGGTGTAGGATGAAATGAGTTTTAACTTCTTCCTACTCCTCTTCGAACATGTAGATCGGCTACAAATGCAGGTTGTTGCCAGCATATCTTTTGTGGTATGCATGTGTTTGTGTATGGTTACTACCTATACTCTGTTTTCTTTATTGCATGTTCAAAATAAAGCATGATTTTTTTATTCAACTATCATGTCCACGCTCAAAAAAATCTTACAAAACAACAACTTAACCATGTATGTTTTATAGTAAATCGCAAGGCTTAAATTGTGCATGTGTTTTTTCATAACATTACTACATTATTGTCGCATGTACAGATGGTTTTTGAATGAATGTATTGTTTATTCAATTTATTTTGAATCAAATCTTAAAATAATGAAGATATTACCTGACATTCATCATAAAATCTGTAAAAATAGATCTCGCCTTGATACACCGCCAAACATTTTAGGTTCATGGTTGGGTTTTTAACACAGAGGGACTCAACAGTGCCTTTTTTAATTGATTTAAAAGTCCAGTTTAATTATGCTATGTTACATGCTAGCTTTTACAACTGCTCAGTGACATTGTACAATAAAATCAGTCATGTAGGTGTTTTAAATCTTAGAGGATAGAGGACATCAGTGTGTGCCTTTTAAAGTCAAACTGTTATATTTTCAGAAAAAGAGCCTTGTCATTTTCTCCGTAAATGCCAAAGATCTTTTGATAAACTGAGCGGAGGAAAAGTCCCTGTGTTTAATGATTCAATACACCCTGAAAGATCTTGGCCATTTTTTTACCAATTTGAACTATGATTTCTTTTTTTATTATTCCGTTAAGGGTAATTTGAACCTGAGTGCCATTTCAACAAAATAAAGATGATCTATGCAGAGAGGCCAACGGAGAATTAACATGTCACACAAAAGCAGCGTTATAATGACTTCATCTAAGACCCTGACTGAATGCATACAACTTTGTAGTTTTAGTACGCACAGTAGAGGGTTGCAGTGGATAGTACTGTCACCTCACAAGAAGGTTCCAGGTCTTATCCCAGGCCAGGCTGGAGCCTCTCCCCATGATTGTGAGTGCTCTTTCTCTCTTTTTCTAAATGTGCTCCTGCTTTCTTCCTCAGTCAAGGGACACTGAGTTTCAAATAAATTAGGAAATGATGTTAAAAACAGATTTTGATGGCTTGCAATCCTTAAACAATCACAGATGCTGGATTTGAACAGTGCGTTGATGACAAATGGGGTAGTCCCTGTCCTCTTTACAGAAGACGATTCATCATCCATGATTTCCAAAAAAGAATGCCATATCTTGATTACTCTCGCTTCAGACTCAGGCCTCTGAAGTCACTGGAGTTTCTGTACCTTGTTTACATCTGGTTTTCTCTTTGCATGGTACATCTTTGACCTGAATCAGTGGAAGTAGCGACGAACTGTCTTTACAGGAATATTTTTTGGAAGTGATTTTGAGCCTGTGTGGGGATTTCCACGAAAGAGTAATGCCTGTTTTTAATGTCACATCTAGGGCCCGACCAATTTATCGTCAAGCCGATTAAATCGGCCAATTTTAGCCAGTTTGAGACTAATCGGACAAAAAAATCAGCCAAAACTCGCCCCAAATTTTCAGAAATAAAATGCGGAGAATAAGATTCGGTTTCACTTCGAAAATGTTCCACCATTTGAAAAGTTCCCCGACTTATCCTGAAGATGGCCTCATGATAATCTTCATCCACTAACTACCTCACAGCACAGCAGAGTGACGGATCTGAAACAGGCAGCTCAGGGACGCACGGAGGACAGTGGTCCGCCTCAACGGTAAATAAACCAGTTTGTGAAATACACAATAAGTCAACAAGTTTCAGTTCAACCCACTTCACCATGTTCCCCGCTGTGCTGTGCTGGTCTCGGTCACGCCGAGTTAACAGTGAAGCACCATGTAATGTGCCAGTAACAGGAGAGTAAACAACAGTACACATTATGTGATCGAGCTACTTCTCTTACTGAGGCAGCTGCATGTCTCCAGATGAGACCGGACCGGAAATGGGGGGGGGGGGGGGATTGAAACGATTTTCTGGTCTGAGTTTAATCAATCGGTCGTCCTGTCGTCGTGAAGAGCAGTAGCCTACAGTATATCTACGGTATATAGTATACTGTAGATATCTACAGTATACTTTATATTTTTTTAACTTCATGAAAAATTTTAAAAATCAGACGATTAATCGGTAATCGGATTTTCTTCCCCCCTAATAATCGGCATCGGCCCCAAAAAATCCATATCAGTCAGGCCCTACTCACATCATGACGATTCCATTGTTTAGGCCTTGTGCTTTTTGTACAGAGATTTTATTGGGATCTGTGATTCTTTATTTGATAACATGCACCTTAGATAAAAATTTTACATTCTTAATCATTCATGCTAAGGAGCTTTGTTGGGGTGAACTTCTTCCATTTGTTGGTTCAGAGAGACTCAGCCTCTCTGTATTGTTCTTTTTGAGCCCATTTGTGTTGCCTACCTGTTTAACATTAATCTCATTAGTAGGGAGAAGTTCCTTCAGGCGTTACATAAATTTCTCAGTGTTTTCTTGTTCCTACCTCAAATTTTTTTGAAACCTGTTGCAGGCATCCAATTAAAAGTGAGGAAAAATAGAATTTTCAGTTTTTGTTTTTTTGTCTTTGCATGACTTTTGGTAAAATAATGGGATTAAACGGTGTCAGAATTAGGGAAGCAAGCAGCAAACTCCTTTCTAGCCATGGTTTGAATATGGATGATTGTAAGATGGTTGATATTTCACCCTCACCAAGTTCAAGTTATACCAAAAGCTAATCCAACACGGGACGAGTGTCAGCTGTGGTTGTTACTTATAGGAAACATGCACACGCACACACACACACACATACACACAATTCACTGATGTTTGCAACTTTACTGTAACAAGAGAAAGTTTACTTGCTCCATCCAAATGCTGAGCGTGTGAAAAGTCTGCAAAGATGAGTGTCTCTCACAGCGAACATTCCTGTGCAGCGACCCTAATGAAACAAGTAGCAGCAGAATGTGACTCAGCTGTGGCCTGACTGCTCGCCTCCTTGTCTCTAATCCCTCTGGCATCAGCACATCGAGAGGGTGAGTGCACCGGACACTTTGGAGCAAGGATCACAAAGTGTCCCTGTGGGGATGGTTACAGAGGGCAGCAGTGTAGGTCAGGGAACTGGTATCACTGCGCTGCATCGACCAGGGAAAGAAATCTGTGAATAGCAAACTACTGCTGCTGTACTTTTTATTATAAAGTGCGAAAAAAGCAATTAAGAAGCAAATGTGGTTTAAATTGCTCGGTGATCCAATTAAAAGAGAAGCCCTGCAGACAGCAGTTGGCTTCTAATGAGCTAAAATGAACAGCATTAGCATTGCCTCCTCTTGACTGTCTTCCATATAAGAACTTCCTCCTCTCTGCCTTTTCATATTTCCCTTCCTGTGGGCATGTCCTATCTGAATGTCTGTGGAAAATAAATATGTGTATTTGGAGTTATTATCGCTCTCTAATTTAGCGTAATGAAAGTGCTAGCCTTCGCTGGCGGATGAGCCATTTTAATTTGAGCATCGAATGCAGGCTTGCATATTAATGACCCTATTTGCATAAATCATGTCACTCCACTCTGGATTCCAATTAAACCCTTGATTAATTGCTCGGCTGACCCGTTAAATAGAATCCTTTAAGTGGTTCAACAGGCCACCAAAGCCTGTTGACACACACTCACACACACTCACTCAAACACACAATTGTAAACTCACACATGATTTACTCTGAATAAAATTAATCAGGAGAAAGGGATCTACTAATTTTGAAATGTGAGCATCCTCCCGGAGGTGTGAAACCTGCGGGATTAAATAGAGAGTGAAAATCCTAACTCACTGAGCCACAAGTCATTTTGGGAGAGGGACGCTTCATCCAACAAAATAATGATATCAGTGTCACTGGTTGAGATAAAATCCCATCCACAGTGAAGTGTTTGTGTGTGAGAGAGAAAACACATTCTTCCCAATTCCCTGATTTCTTGAATGATCAGATTTTTGGCTGTCAGACTGAAAAAAAGGTTTATTTTGAACAACAGAAACCCAAACAAAAACGGCTTTAAAATAGTCCATGTTTACAGGTGGTTGTCAGATACAAACTTGAACCCTGTGCACCCTGACAGCGTACTTAAAGACACATTACTGCTGAAAGTTACTAGTTATAGTATTGTGCTGTTCATGAACAACTCGTTCAAAAGAACAGAACTGCTGAGTGAACGACGTGAATGGAATCACTCCAAGACCTGATTCGTTACTTTCTCAGTTCAGTTGAGCTCAGCCGAATTACACTTCTTGCTTCTTTGCAATGTCATTTTAATTGCCAGTTAATATCATAAACTTGTATAAACATTGTTTTTGTCACAGTCTTTACTGTTTCAGAATGCAACCATTTTTGCCACAGTGTCAACAGGCAGAGGTGAGATGTATCAGACTTTTTTTTTACCAATTGGCTTGATACCATGAGTGATCAGGTGATTGCTTTTGCTTTTACAATCACTGTTACAATTTGGGCTGGGCAGTAAACGAAAATTTGCTGCTACCGAAATGTATGACAATAACCGATGTCATTTTGCCTATATTGGTATATTCAGTGTCACGAAAATAATTGAATAAAGGTTGGTTTGGGATGTGTGTAGGTAGGCTATGGTCTCATGTCCCTTTAAGATGCTGTCCTACATCAGAGACGTGACTCCACCCCATCCAGTCTGTAACAAAGAGGGAAAGACAGGAGATGGAGGATGGTTCAAAAGTTGGAGCAGCTGAAGCAGCGGCTGAAGTAGACAAAGTTAATGTAGGAGGGGGTGAGCAGCTTGTGGAGTAGTTCTCGTTCATTTATCGTTATCGAGGTGAACTGCTCAATATACTGTGATATTGATTTGAGGCCATATCGCCAAGCCCTAGTTGCAATAATACTTTAACTTCTGTTGTCCAAATGTTAGATTACACATGAGACTAGATTTTATAATCAGATGATCAAACAATGACAGACATGTCTACATGCATTTTGTCACCCTCCTGCTCTTGGAAGAAAACACCTCTTTTATCTCGTTGTGGCTGCAGCTACGATTCACTCCAACATTCACACTCTGTAGCAGGGTCAGAAGTTGTTTTTTTTCCTCTATTTTTTCTCTTAAACTCTTAGAAATACTGCTGGGTTGCAGCTGCACTGTGTGCGAGACACAGCAGAAGCCAAGGCCAAAAAACAGCCTACGAAGGAATAATCAAAAGAGCTGCTGTTTAAGCACACTCCCCTAAGTTGTAAATAACGTGCAGGAATTGGCAGAGTTCAACGCCATGTCAATAAGAACCGGATTTATGACGAACTCTGATGGAGTTCATAAATACAGAGGCGCTGTTAACATGCTGATGATGACACTGACACCAACTCTGTAACAAAGATCAACAGCATCAGTGTCCATAAATGACATTTTAATGATACCGTGTTTAAATGTTGGCTCTATCATCAGCTCCTTGCTGTGAAGATATATGTTTACAGTCATTACCATGCACTGTACAGTATGTGTGGTGATATACAAGTATTGGGAAACTTGCAAAAATACGGGCGGGGTCAAATGTTAAGGATTACCAACGGGAACTCTTGCACGTTTCACATTTTCTGCACATTTTCTTTAATCTGGATTTGGAAGTCAGGTAGGAATGACGTGGATCAGCTGCAGCAGATCTCAACTATCCACCTGAGTCAGCTGTATCCGCTCTGCAGGCCTGCTGTCTGTCACCGACTCTCAGGTCACAGAGGTGCGTGTGTGCATCTCACCATATACCAGTTAAGTTGATCTCTGCATTCAGGAACAAACTCAAAAGAAACTCATGTAGGAACAATGCTTCAGCCAGCATTTTATTACAGTTTTAACTTTGCATTAGTATAAATTCAGTTTTCCTTCATTTATGTTTATTTTCACTGCTGTAAAAATGATGCCAAGAAAAAATCCTGCTGCGTCAGTCATTTGGTAAAAAGGAATTCTGAAAATTGTCTGGTTTTTAGCTTCTCAGATGTGAAAATCAGTTTCTTATCTTACAAATCTCTCCTGCGTTTGAATATCAGGACAAAATGAAGACATTATCTCAAGCTTCCACTGAGATATCGTGCTTGGATTTTCCATCACACATTACCTTACATGACTTTTTCACCAACTCACTGTTTTCATGCAAATATAATGACATATTAATCAATGATTAAAGCATTTCTCCTCTGCAGCCCTGGTTATCAATTTACTTTTCTCAACACTATCGGGGCTCTTAAGCTGAAAGGGCTTTGTCATAAATCCTTACAATATATGCTCGTGTAAAAAAGCAAACATGGCTGATATGGCTTAATCAGATTTTTCCTTCTCAAATATTAATGTCAGTATTTGCATACAGCCCGTGTGTGTGAGCGGGAGTGTCAAAAAGAGATAAACTGCTAGAGGCAGGAGGAGAAACAGAGAGAAACAGTGAGTAAGAGAGAGAGAAGGAAAGAGAGAGGTGTAAGGTATCTGTGTCTGACTCTGTGCTGTACCTGCTGGATTTGGAAAGGACGGGCGCTGTCATCTGACCTGCTCTTCTCTTTTTGCTGGCTTAAGGCCAACCTGAGCGACCCGAGCCAGGCACATCGGATTAATATCTGCTGGCCTGTTACACAGCTCTGTCCTTACATCACTGTCCTCTACTGCTGCTGACTGTACAGAGCAGCAGAGTCAACGCACAAGATGCATGTCCAAGGAAACAAAGACAAACGCGATGCTAACTAGATGTCCCGTATATTTAAAAAAGGAAAACTCTTGCACAAATGGTTTATTCTACATTCTAATTCAGATGTCAGATATCAGATGTCTTAATACCTGCTGCTGGCAAGTTAAGAGAGTGGGGGTTAACCCCAGAGTTAGCATTAACTTCAGCCTTGGAGGAGCAGACTGATAAATCTCCTCTGTGCTTCCTGATTACGTTCGGGACACTAAAGCAGGAAAGGTTAACACAAGAAGAGGTTTTGGTGAATTAAGACATACATACCTGGGACTATCTATAGCCAGAGTACATGGGACTAAAGAGATAGAGACAGAGATTTGGCAAGTGGCAGAAGCACGCCTCCAAAGCCTTCTCCAATAATCATGTCTTGGGCTGGTGGCCCAGAAGAAGGGGCTGGTTTGAGTGTGAAGTCACTACTTCCTCGCTGCCTATCTGAAATTACTTACAAGCAACCCTCACTTGAATACATGGAAAACTGACTGCTGTGCATGCAGAGTCTGCATCAGTGAGTCACAAGACATTACAAAAAACACACACACACACACAACGCCGTCAAGGACTTGATTCAGGATATTGAGACACTGCTTTCTCACTTGTCCTTGTGCTTTTTGACATTGTAGGCACTGATGATGCAGATTAAACATAATCTCAAACATCGACTGAAATCAAGATCTGAATATCAAAAATCTGTGACTAATTTACAGTAGGGCAACTCAATGCTTAAACTGCTTGCCATGTCCACACTACTTTCGCAATTAGGACCTTTGTGTCCATTCCGCTGATCTAATATCCCGGTCTGAATAGACTTCCATCAGCACATGAATTCTCCATGATTTGCTCCCATTTTCACATTGAGCTGCTTCTTCTTGATGCACCTGCAGGACAAGCTCTGCATGTGGAAGTTTATCTAGGGGCCAAATTGGATTTCAGCCATTTGCAGCAGAGCAGCAAAAAGAGAGGCTGGCGAATTTGGAAACCTGCTACCTACCGACTCCTCTCTCCTAGGCCTTAAAAAATGTGTTTTTAATTCTGTTTAATGTGTTAATTTAAGACAGGGGGGAAATTAAATCTAGAATAATAAGATTTTATATGTTTTCTGTTCCACTTTTACACCAATACACAAAGATTATCTCGAGATGAATCAATCCAGATGAAATCACAAAGCTTCCCCTTCAGTATCTGTGCCCGCACATTCCTCAGAAACTCTACAATCACTTCATCTTGGATTTTTTGACCTGAAAGTCGATCGTATTTGTAACAAGTTTGCCAAATAAAAGGAATATTTTCAAAGTAGATTTCCCAAAAGAACTGCAGAGGAGTACAGTCATAAAAATGTGTTATTTTGGAATTGTCCCTGAATTAGCTTTGCCTGGCCTAGATGCATCTATCTTTCAACATCAAAAGCTCTCCACAGAAACTCTGAAGCATTAGAGGATCTCAGAGTTATCAGTCTACATACAGGAGCCTACAGCTCGCCAGCTTTTACTCTGGGAATTTTATCATGACAATAGTGAAGCCGCCTCGGGGCCCTTTTAAGCCTCCCTCATTTCATTTCCATCTCTATTGCTCTCTGAGTTCAGTTACATTTGGCTGTGCATCACCATGGCAGCGGACACTGGCCCTCATGCCTGACTCAGACATCATCCAGAGCATTTCAGTGCTGAGTGAGTCATAATGAGTCCCACTCTCCACTGCTACAGCGCTCAAAATAGGCTCACTTTGCTCCTTACGATTTCTCTGGGGAGAACGTCTGTGATCATCCCTCAAAACGCTCCTTTCAGTCTGTAACAAACAAGTCCCAAAATAAGAAAAGCGTGAGGAATGCTGGGATCTGACCAGGAGGATAAAGACAGTTTTTTTATTGTCATAAAAATTTGCACGCGCAGCGAAACACATCATAAACACAGAATCTGCAAATCAACTGCAGAGCGTAAAATAAAAAGCTGGGCAACATGACAGCCCCTCAAAAATGAAGCTCCCCCTACTGACCCATCGCAGTATAGGTTACTGACCTGCCTTGTTAGAAGATGGGGCATGTGCCGAACTAGAAAGCTGAAATACATGTCAAATTATCTTTTCTCAAAATGTTTTCTGTCAATTCAGTTATTAATTTTATCCCAATTCGTCAGTACCAATCACTGCAGACTTCTTTAATATCACAATGTGTGGAGATGGAGGCGTGTGGTCTTTATAAATATACAGCAATTGGTTGCAACCATAGACTGTATATAGAATGGACAGTGTCTGCCTGCTCACTGGGTGAAGCCACTCCGAGAACAGCACCCTCTGGTGACAGGCTGCAGTATAGATCATAAATCCCGCCTCCGCAGGCAAAGCTTATGGAGCTGTGGACAAACTTTCGATATTTATTTCACAGAATATAGATCCCAAAAGCCCCGCCTCACAGCCAATCACAGTTCAGGATTTTTGTGTGGCACATGAGATTGCGGATAAGATTGCAGTTGGGGCCTCTGCCACCCCATTGACCCCTTGGATCAGCCCCTGCAGGTTGAATATGCATGATCCGGTGGAGGATGTCAAGTTAAAACTAAAACTAAAAAACTACAAAAAAAAGACAAGCAAAAGCCTAAAGGAGCAATTTCCACCTCAATATTTTGTTAAACCACCGGCCATAGACAATGCCATGATTGAAAACCCAGTGCTGCATTCATACACTGCTAACCTGTATCTGCTTTGTCATTGCTTGCAATCATGAACATTTGTTCTCAGTTTACACTGCATGAAACAAGCTCATCAAAACTGCCAACAGTTGCACCAAGCAGGTGTTTCCTCACATTGTTTAATTTGCATTTTCCAAAAGTTTCGAAAGAAAACTGATTTCCCTGAAAACTTAGTCAATTAAAAAACTCCAATAAAAATGTCATTGCAACACATTTCTTTTTTTTTTTAAGCCTTGCACTACAAGTTTAGACCCAGACATCCACAAAGCCAGGAGTAAAAATTACCTGCAGGAAATAAAGTTAGAACCTGCAAGCCTGAGATTCATCCTTCTGTGTGCAGTGAGTGCGTGTGTGAAAAGAGAGTGTGTCTATGCATGAGTGTGTGTGTAGTACAGGTTTCTGCGACATCGCCTCCAGGCCCACAAAATGAGAAGCTTCCCTCTTATAGTGATGGGAGGGGGAGACGCAGGAGACTCGGGGAGGGAGGGATATTTCCAGGACTGAATTTTCTAAATGAGATTTGGTAACCCTGGGCACGACATTCATTCTGGGTCCCTGTCTATAGGAAATAGTAATTTCTGTGTCCTCCCTTCCTCAATCTCTGAAATCTATACATCTCAACTAGGATGAACAATGGGGCGCAGTCTGCCAATGATGAAGTCCTTTAAAACTCTTTACAGTTTGTAGCTATAGTGCGATGTATAATAACCCCCTTCCCATATTTAAGCTCTATTATCAAACCAGATAGGTATAAAAGACACTTTTTAGCACTTGGTTGTATAAAAGGCTTAAAAAGACATCACTACCGCTTTAGTTTTTTCCTCTTTAGCAGCTGTATTTGCCTTCCAAACATCATCACCTCTTTTTGTTTATGTTTTTGTCCTTGCAATTAAATAAAAGCAGCATGATCTAACGGCTCATATGATCCCTGTGCACACAACACAAGCACAAAGATCCATACTCAATGAAAGTGATTAGCCGTAGAGCACAACCGAGCAACAAAGTTATCAAGCCGTCCAATAAATCCAGCAGCGTGCTAAAAATAGGCCCATTCAGAGCAGTGTATAAAGAGGATCTACTCCATCTCTCTTGGCACAGCAGTTCGTGCTCTCAATCCAACTCACCACCCTTCTGATGGGATTTGCTAACCTTGCGCAAATGTGCCAGTGACCCAGTCTCTGAGCTTTCTCCTAAAGGTCTACTAAGAGAGTGATTAAAGTCATTACAAGTGTTTAATTAAATCTGCTTTTAGAGGGACCTATGTGAGAGGTAAATGTTATCCTATGCAAAGATAAAATAGAGAAAAGGGGCGACACACTTCTTATAGCGTTTCTGCAGCAAAACCAAGCAGAGATGGAGATGCAGGTTTACAATATAAGCAGACAGGGCACACCTGAGTAAAGATCTGATAAAGTAGGAGACTGTGACAGAATACACCTGTACATATGAGCGCCTTTCTGAATTTCTAGTGCCGCTTTAGCAACTTTACACAAGGATGAGTGTTGATAATAGTGTGACTTTGCATGTGATTGACTTTTTTGCAATTGATTTTAGAGCAGTTTCTGCCAGGTTTAAAGTTTGGTTTAGCGATCAAATTGTGCGCCCCACGTTCAGAGGCCAAGCAGGTGTCCCAGTGGCCCTTCACTGCATGTCAATCCACGCTCTCCCCTCCCAGTTTCCTACACTATTGATTGCCATATCCTTTAAAAAGAGGCATAAAAAAACATGGTGGTGACAATGAAGTGGAGATCAACAGATTAAGTAGAGTGACAGTGAACTTAGAACCTAGATATATTAAAAATGTTAAAGCAAATAGGGAGTAAATTAATAAGAAATTAAAACACAAAAGATCCAACATGAAGTAAATTAAAATCAAATATCTCTAATAAACACAGTCTAAGCATTTCAACTGGAATACATGATAATCCTGACTAAGTTCTTTTGTTATGAAAACCTAGTTTTATATCTGCTTGCCCTACTTTATTGCCATAAAATGTGAAAGCATAGATCAAGTTGTCAAGTTGTCATAGTATATACAGTCTATGATTACCACCAAATAGCTTCTTTGAATTGTGTAAAGGTGACTGTTTTCAGATCACCTAAGGCAGAAACATAGAGTAAAAAAAACTGTGTTGTTTTAATGAGTGCTAATGGAATACTTTTAATCCAATCAGATGGCCTGATCTGAACTACCTTTGTCTAAAAGTCAGTAATCCACACCTATTCAACACAGTCTAGGGGCAACCGCTGTCACCTCTAGACTTGAGTCTGGTAAATAGCTACTTTGAATTGTGTAAAGGTGACTGTATAGATACGGCTGTCTTTGTCATAGTTGTCAATGGTTCGATTCCCAGCCAGGGTCCTTTCCTTCATGTCTTCCCCCAGCCTCTGCTCCAAAATATAAGTTTATAGAGGTAGGGGGGCATTAATAAATGGACAGTTTGGAAACTTTGTACCAATAATAGAGTCGATGGAAAGAAGAAGAGAAGAGTGTCACCGGGATTAGAGGGCAATCTGGATTAGTCAGAGGATCTGGGGCTCATGCTGCTGCTACTGCAGGCATCAGATGACACATGGAGAAAAATGCCAAGTCAGTCATTAAGGCGCTCGAGACAAGCAATGTGTTTGTGTGCACGCTCAGGCGCAGACACATTGTCATTTGCTTGTTTTTAGATCACACCAGCCTTTTTGCAATTTTAAGGGCCGAAATGGTCCGTTGTTGGGTTTTTAATTTTATCAGAAGAAAATCCCTTGAGCAGTGGTCGAGGTTTAAATTGCCATACAGTCTACTAATTTACTGTGTAATAGCTCTTTGCTTTAATATTTATAAAGTTAACAAAGCACAGTCAAATATGTATTCTATCCGTTTCAGTGTAACAAGCTCATATAACAAGCAGACTAATAATACTTGAGAAATCACTTAATTACTGCGCACTCTCCGCAGCGCTCTAATTATAGCTTTTACAAAAGAGCAGCAGTAATGCACTTTTAAGTGTAATGGGAGTTTACCTAATTAGGCCCATCACACACACAGGCAAAAGGCGTGCACACACACACACACACACACACACTCACACACTGGTGAGAAAACTGTCATTCAGTAATTAGTAGTGGTGATGAAACCCTCTATTACTGTTTCATTTACACGCTATCACAGGGCACAGTCAGTTGACCTGTGCCCACGTACTCCCAGACTTTTGTTAACAGCTTTTAAAACAGTAATATCTTTATGACACAGCCGTGGCCCAACACAGTGTGATACATTTGCCTTTTCATTCCCCCAATTAGTTCAAAGCCATTGCAGTATTTTAGAATTATCTACCTTGGTAATGACGGCCTTATATTTCCACCGCTGGTGTTAATGAGTGAGCAGACGGGATCTAACTGCTGCAACTAATAGAGCTGGTCACACAGTATAGCTAAAGTGTGAATGTATATTTTACAGGCCAAAGGGAACATAATAGAGGTGTTTTCTCTTATTATCACAGAGCGAGTGGGGTGCTCAAATGACGCCCCTCTGAGCTAAGCCGCCAAGGAGCAAATTACCCATCAGGGTGCAGGGCTCTTTGTTTTGAATCTCAGTATATGGACAGAGCTTGCTCATAGCTGAGTGTTCAAACAAGTATTTGATCTGGACTCCTGAAGTGAGGCTCAAGAGGGATGAAAATGTTCAAAAAGCAGGGTTCCTACACAGGTTGAATTTCCATACTTTTCCATACCCTACTTTTTAGAATAACTTTTGGAAATACCTACTTTTCTATTTTAGAAAACAGTATTTTTTACTGTGGTAATAGTCTGGAAACCTAAATATTTTTCCATACTTTATTTTTCATTTAAAACACGGAAATTGATCAAATTACTTCCATACTTTTACATACTTTCCATACTTGCATAGGAACCCTGAAAAAGAGTCCATCATCTTTAGGTAATTTAAATATTCCTCAAGAGTTTACACTGACTTTTCCATCTCACAGACATAAAAAGCATGAACTGCTCCTTTTAAATCTAAACGTTTTCCCTTGGTGTCGGATATTCAAGACCTATACCACACCAGCGTATTAGTAAATAAGAACAAACGACCGCACATAAAACTTTCATTGGTGGAAAAGTAAAAATTCTTTCCTCTGCCTGCCGCCGACTGTTGCTATGCACTCCATTACATTACTGTTGCTATGCACTTCGCCACTTCATGTGTTATTCAGACTGGTTGTAGGACTGTACAAGTGCTTTCAGTGGACATATACAACCATTGCTAAAACCAACACTTCCAGATCTGTCCTTTAGGTCGGCTAGTCCGTGGACACTGGGCAAATACTTTTGGATAACTGGTGTAGACTAGTGAGAGTTTGCAGAAGTAGGTAAAAGTTGACATGAATTTTTATAAAGTGGCAATATGTAGGATAAGTTTGTGTAATTTTGCATTCGTTGACGAAGGGTTGGGTTGCGTTGACACACATAGCTATCCAAAACTAACTCAGAGTCCAAAGTGGGAAAGAAAAACTTCTTATTTTGTTTGATGATAATTTAATGATGTTGATTTTGAAGCATGAAGCAAATATGGTTTACTACCAAGAGCAAGTTATGAACATGTTGTCAAAATCCATTTCTAGGTATAAAAGTTCAATAGTATTTATTGTTTATTGTTGTAAAAATTGGACTATAAGCTAATTGCACAGCATTTATGGCAACTCAACAGAAATCTCACTGCATCACTTTCTTTCTACTTTGCCAAGCAGAATTATGTTTCTCTTGAAGTTGCAGATGGATGAAGATGGCATGACATTTGCTTTTCAAATTTTCTGGTATGTAAGAAGTAAAAATTGGTTGAATTTAACATTCTATGATTTATGAGTTCAACATTTATTACTAATTGGTTTAAACCAGGCGGAAAAGTAACCATCTGCTAAGCAGCTTGTCTAAGCTTTGTACAACAGCCTCTCCTAAATAATTGTGGTTTCGAGTTTAACAAAACATAATATGTAAAATATTGTTACTTTAAAGAGTACTTTCAGATGCTTTACTAAGATGAGTGTTTTCTACATTATTACCCGATAAACTCTTAGACTACAGAGGAAATGTTGTTGCTGTTTTTGTTTTATTTGTTTCTTTCTGTTGTGTGTAATTTCTTTTTGAAAGGCTGGTATGTGAAACCATGTGAAACCTCTGTTGTAATTTCACAGCAACTTTGCAGCCATTTGTTTCCAATCATTACACCCTATTAAATGTTGTGGATGAAGGATAGCAGAGAAGACATGCTATTTTTCCAGTACACAATAGAAATTACAGGGCTGATCTAATAAATAAAATGTTTTATACACAGCGGTTTACATTCAGTTTTTTAACATGTGTTGGATAATATAAAGCAGTATTTGCAATAAAGCAGCAAAAGCAATGAAATAGTTCTTATTTGGACTGTAAGCCAAGTTTCATCTAAACACTGGGAAATATTGATGCTAAGGGCTTGATTACATCGAATCAAACAACATTTCCAAGTGGAAACAGATTGTCCGTATGGAAATATTTGAGTGTGAGTGTCACGACTAAACAGTGTAGCATCTGTCAGAGCAGACAGAACCGAGCTGAGGTCATCCTCCCATGAGAATGTCTTTGTCACCAAGATGTCCTGAAAAATACAACTATTCTCTGTCAGGGCATTTCATATTTTCAGTGTCAGCGTGACAACAATGTGGTAAGTAAGTGTTATTCAGCACTGACTAGTCGAGACAAAGAGGTTGGGTTTTTGACAGAGTGGATAAAGAGCGCCTCTTAATGCAGGTTGGCACATAGTTCAAGAATATTCAATTTTGAGAGAAATAGCCGTGGAATATCACAAAATAAAATTAGTATCCAACTATTTTGATATGCTAAAACTGGTCAAAGAAAAAGAAATCAGCAGAAGCCTTGGATTCGGTTTCTGATCTACCTCTGATCCACATGAGCAGAGTTTGAATTGAGCAAGAAACCCAAACTCCACATGGAGGCAACAAAACAATATGTTACTTTTTAGGGAAAATCAAAAGTACAAGCAGTTTGGTAGCGTGACTAATAAGAAATTAAGCCAAGCGGTCTCCATTTGTTGTGTTCCCACTGTGTGCAATTGGTTGTAAAAGCTCTTTAAAGTTTTTCCCTCTGATCATTTCTTTTTTTTTCTTGAAATATGACAAACAGGCTTTCTTAAGGGTTGGATGTATTTGCTTATTTGGCACAAAGCAGAGCTCAAATTGGCAGAAATGAGTACATTAACAGCATATTGTGGACTGCATAAGATACACATTTTGTCTCAGCGGAGAAAATTTGTAATCAGCTTGAGAGACAAAAGAGAGTCTGTATTAATAGTCCAGATTTTTTTCTTTTTCTTGCTCAAAATGTAAAGATTTTTCCTCTCATTATGTCCACATTCAGGATTTTAGATTGAACCTATTAAAGTCTTTGTTTTGTGACTGAAAGAGCCACATCAAGTGCGGTCTATTGCCAGGAGTGGGATGATTGACAATATTTCCTGGCATCATATAAAAGTCCTCTAAAATATTCCATCCTGTGAAAACTAGGTTTGACTACCGCTAATGTAGCACATTTGGCAATTCTGCTCAAGTCTTCCTTGACCTTTCCTTCGCTGCCAAGTCATCACAAACTGAGAGACCGAACAGTTCCCAGCCCTGTCACTGAGTCATACAAACTCGAGCAGAAACCAGCGCCTCTACGCAGAGCACACAGCACAACGGGGATCACAATTCATTAAAACGCTGAAAACTGAAGGGGATGATTTTCTTCTTTTTTTTTTAAATCAAAGCAAAGGATTTTCCAGATGGCCTCCTAAACAGGGTGTTCTCAGACTTGTGTTCCCATGCCAAATTTCTGGCCTGCAAAATCACACATCCAACAGTATGAACCAAATAAAAGAACAGCAGCAGTAGTGTTTTTATTTATTTTTATTGTCTATGGTTTTAGAGCTTCACTGGGAAAAAAAAAACGCTTGGTCTAGATTTGTTTTAAAACCCTGCTTTATAAATAGAGAAGAAGAGTAACGTGACTCCAGCTAACAGTGTACAGACTATTCTCACACTGCATATTCACACACTATAATTTCTCATTTGTCTCATCGTGTTCTCTCCCTCTAATAAAATTGTCATTGCTAATTTTAGTCATGTTCTTATTAGGATCAGTCGACATAGTCAACAAAAATCCATGACGCAAAAAGCTGCCTACAAATTTGATTAGCCAGTCACGTCACAGCGCATGTTTTTCATGCAGCGAACGGACATAACGTGGTTCTCCACAGTTGAGTTGCTGAGGGGTGAGACTTATACATGCAAAACAGCAACTGGGGGAAGTGGCAGGTAAACAGAACACAGCAAAACAGCGGCTGATGCAACACCACAGCATCGCCAAAACTGCTCAAGTCGGGTAGCAGATCAGCTAGAAGGATTGACTCATAAATTTGGAGAGCAGAGCTTGCATATCACGTAAGTATTGTGTGAGCGTCCGAAAGGAAGGCATGTAGGAAATCTCTCTTTTAAATATCAGCTGTGATGTTCAACTCAGCAGCACAAAGTTAAAGCCGCACTGTGCGATTTTCATTTATTTATATTTTCAGCCTGAGTACTTCATCTTTTTACTTTCCCATCTCCTGCCATGAAACAGTGGAGAAAACTCTTATTGTAATTATACACATAAGTGGTCAACCAAGATCGGCTTTTCAACAGCCAATGCGAACACTGATCATGAGAAAGCAGGTTGATATATAATGCTGATATCACATTGTTGTCAATGTTTTTCTACTTGACAAAGTAAAATAATTTAATTTTCTCCAACTAATGAGAAACAAAATTGCTGGACTTGAGTAATTATGTTATTTAAAGCTCCAGTGAGTAGCTTTCTGATTGGGTCTATTTTGGCGTCCACTGTTTTTTTTTTTTTTTTTTTTTTAATACTTTATTTTCAGTTTTAAACTTTACAAAACTGTACGAGACAAACAACGGTAAAGAAACAATCAAAAACAATCAAAAGGGCTGCCAGACAATTGTAGTTTTACATGAATTTTCAGAAAAAAGAAACAGTTGCATCAGTTGAACCAAGTACCATCATATGAAAGATTAAGTCAGGTATCACACCTGACACTGAGCCAAGAAGGGTCCCCAAGTTCTCTCAAATCTGTTCGGGTTGTTGGGTTTGTGCAAGCGCAGTCTTTCCATTTGAATAGTCGACAACATCTCGTTGAGCCAGTGAGCAAAGGTGGGAGGAGTGCTAGACTTCCAAGTTAAGAGAATAATCTTCTTGGCCACCACCATCCCTAGGTTCAGGGCAACTTGAGTGTCATGCGGAAAATCAGAAGTCTCAGTCGAGCATCCAAGGATGGCCAGGACATGGTTAGGCTGAATGGCTCTGGAGTAAGCTTTGGACAGATGTTTTTGGCGTCCACTGTTGCCAAAGCACTAATAGCTTTTTGTCATATTTATAATTAAGTCTTTCTTCTGGCAAGCAATTAATTAATTCATGAAATTAAAATAAATAAAATAAAATAAAATAATACTTATAATGATGATCCTGCTGACTTTTGGCATTTAATATAAACATCTTAATTAAAAAAATGTAAAAACAGGACTGTTACTTCAGCTACTCGGTTGACACCTACCCCCTCACACAAATCTTAGGCATTAAAAAATTACAGAATAAAACAGTCTGTCTTGTCGCTGATGGCCTTGTTTGCTTTGGTTTATAATAAAAATGCATGATTATAAGTTCAAGTCTATTTCACAGGAGCTTTAATAAATGTGGACACGAAAAAGTTTGGCTTGGTATAACACTGCCATATGATGCGGATTATTTCAAAATCCCATTAATCAGCCCTATCAATCAGCTTTTTGATTAATCAGTCTATCACAACAACACATCCTTTTGCAATCTTCCAAAAGGACTGCAACAACCTGCTGGCTCCAAGACTGCACAACGCCACCATCTCTCCACAATCATGCCTCTGTTTCTTCTTTAAATAGGACATTAGAGGTGGAACAACTGTGTCCAACTGTTACGCCCCGTTGTGTTACATATTGCTAATGTAATGTTTTGAGCTGAAAAGTAAAGAGTAATGTCGTATTTAGAGCTAACGGTGCAATTGGATTGGTGTTAGGTCTCTTTAAACAGTTTAACAAAGCATACAGCGGTAACCTCCACGACAAATCTCAACAGGTGACCCTCACCTGGAGACAAAGATCCCGAACACATGTAATAAAGGAGCCAAATGCTGTTCGGATGCGGGTTGTGATTTTAGAGGCTGAAGGTCAACTGGATAGGATGCTGGTGTCAGGCAGGACCAGAGTCATGACTGGTGGCTCTGCTGAGTCCAATGAGCCCCTGAGGTCATCTGTGTCGAGGGGGGATTAGGAGCGCTCTGTGATCCCATCAAAGCAATGTGTCACCAGCACCGTGTCTTACCACAGAGCCGCACACTCCAGCGAGCACTGATCCCCTTAACTGACTCTCAGCGGGCCCGGCAACTAAGGCAAGCTGACAGCAGGGCTATTTTAGTGCAGAAATCGCCCCTGTTTGGACAGGGCCTCGGATAGATATGGCAGGGGCCTGTGCCATCGTTCTCTATTAGAGGGAATGAAAAACACAGTGAGGAGCCCAGTTTGCCACTTTGGAGAAGAGAGCAACCTTTAGCTCGCGACAGCTCCCAGAAACAGATGAGGGATAAATATGTTGTGACAGCTGCTAATAAGGTCCCTGTGATCTGCTGGTAGTGTGTCAGTGTGCGAGTTTCTCTTGTGTGTGTGTGTGCACGGGTGTGTGGCGATGCTAGCACCAATATTAAGTCTTTGTTTCAACCTAAAAACCAAAGATGTAAAAATGCACAGATAAGAGATGAAACGGCCAACATAAGAGGTTGTGTCTTGATGCACGTTTGACATGCTTGATCATTCTCTCTACTTTTAAGTGACAGATTAAAGAGTCCTCGGACTAAAATAGCAGCAGGAACACAAATAATGTCTCTACAAATAGCTAGAGCTGGCCATAAAACACATTTAATAGCAAACAAATTGCCCTGATAAGCATTTCCTGCGGCTTATCCTATCCCTGTTACTCCGCAAAGAAAAGCAGCATCACTGTAAGCGCTGGATCTGCAGTAGTCATCCATTAAGTGATCCTAAATAGAGCAAAAGATTACAAAAAACAGTGCGCCATGCTTTATCACCTTCTCACTTATAATAATCTGTCCTTAATACATGAGATCATGGACTAAAGCCTAATCTTGGTCACCAAACTAGGTGCTAACCCAATTACTTCCTGCTCTGGACACTGAAGGAACAGTTTATCATTACCTCATTTCACCTGTGGGAACAGCGTGTGAACGGTGAGAAAGGCCCACGTCCAAACAACATGGTCAGTGTTGATGAAAATGTAATGTCACTATGACTTCTGGGTGGTTATTTGAACATGGTGCTGTGTTAGAGATCTGCAGAAGTTTCAACAAAGCATCAAACATGTCAGTCAAGCCAACGTGCATCTACTTCCTTGATCATAAAAACACTTCTGCAAAATTGTAGCCCTGAGCGATTCAGGCCAAATCTGTTTGTTTTTTAACCAAGAATTGAACGTCTTCATCTCGGCTCAGTTTGTACTTGGTTTCCAGTGCTTTTTCTGCAAGTCCTAGCAGGCACTCTGGGAACTGTAGTTTTTAGTACTTAGTAATTCTCAGGACTGGAAGTTGCCACTTGATTCCGGTTTGCATGGTGTAGAAAACATTGATGCTACCAGTATACAGAGAAATGTAGCTCATTCACTAACATTGTAATTTGTTGCAGTGTTTCTGTTTATTTATCTGTTTATTTAAATGCTAGTGCTTGTCACACCTGTATTAGCCAAGTCAACCTTGCTTAAACTCTGCTCTGTTTACATTTTGATTTATTATGTTTTATTTTCGGAAATAAACCCATCAAGATACAACCGTTGAAATTTAAATCTACTCACTAGCAGTTGTGTGTCATCTTCCTGTGGTTATTTGCAGTCTCAAATGACTCTTTCTGAGTGACTCGGACATCAGAAAAGACAATTACAGCTAAAATACATTCATAACTGTAACTGTACAGGTTTAAAGTCGACATAATAGACCTGCCACACACACTCTAAAAGGTAATCATTCAATAAACGCATGTTGTACTTTTTCAGTCAAAACAGGCATTTATTTGTTAATATTGAGCAGCTGTTGCTTTGCATCCAAACAGTGACATTGTAATGTGCAGATCTAGTGTTTACAGTTTGTGTGCACTTAGGCAACCCTTGTAGACTGCAGCATAGCTTTGGTCTATATGCTATAAACTGCTTGGATGTAATGCAGTCTGCTGACGTCAGTGACCGGCATTGCAAATGTCAGTATAAAATTGATATAAAGATGTTTCATTGCCTGCTAATAACTCCCCACTGTAGTTCATGTGTTCATATTACAATAATTTACATTGTGCTACTTCCATGATCAAGCATAGTGGCACATTGATTAAGTTGTGCTTTAGGAATCTTGCAGAGGCTCTAGAAGGACTCTTGGGCTGCTCCTTCCACATCCCATCAGCCCACCTCCACTCCCCGTTCATATCCGGAGGATGGGCGAGGGATCGATGGCATGCCGGGATGCTATTAGAGCTGAGGCAGCCAGGCAGCCACAACTTCAAAAGCAAAGTGTGGGAGGAGAAATAACACAAGGTAATTATCCAGGCCCCGCTAGCTAGCACTGAGGTTATCTGTGGAGTGGGGGAGACGGAGGGGAAGGCTATGAGGGTGGTGTTCAGGATGTCTGTCCGTATTTACCTCAACTCGCTGCACTCTGCTCACTCCAGCAATGCAAACAGAGAAGGTAATACTTAACTTGTCTACGCACCAACATCCGGCTATCTATCATTTTTAACCCGACATATTTATCCTGATCCTGAGGAGCCAACCTACAGGGGCTGATCCACAGAGATCACAGGGGTGGCATGGGCCCCGTTGGAGATTGGCCACCCCAGGTGCCACCCTGTAATCCTAACCTCCAACTGGCCATTAGGCTTGTCAGAAGCAACACTTATGTGAAAATAAACTATTTGGGGGAGTTGTATCCCATTGACCTCATATTAATAAAGACAGTAGCCATGCACAAAATTTCTTGATCCAGTTAAAAATTTGAGGGATGGGATAATCTAAATCCACTATTCATATGGGTGCAAAATAATCCGATCATGTTGTGTGTATATATGCACCAAGCTTTATTCAGATTAGAGGCATTTGGACATGTGCAGAGTTGTCTGATTTCATTTATTCCAATTATTTGTGCCCATCTAAACGCAGCTATAGACAAAAGTGAAGCCAAAATACTGCCTTAATGAGCAATGAAGTGTTGTGCAGGTGATGTATTTTGACGCAAATGAATGAGCCTGTTCCTCCTCTGTTCAGTACTAAAAAACTGATCAGTGTTAAATGATTTAAAACACTAAAAACTGCACACAAATCATGAAAAAACAACTACTGTGATCGAGAGAGAGCATGCATTTGATGCGTACTGGAATTAAGTAGAATCACAACCATTACTAGACTTAATAGATCTCTCTGTCCTTGCAGAGCATGTGTCAGGTGGTGCAAGGATGACAACTTTATGTAAAGAATATAAAATCGAAGGCAAATATTCTTGGGCAGCCAAAAATATACTTGAACAGGCTGCCTATAGCTACTGATTGTTGGTTTGAAACACTATTATTCATGTGTGCACATATATTTCATGCAACCCCTATGTAAGTCAGTGCCCCAGTTGGACCACCTAGTCTAAAAAGTCTGGACATGCACCAGCTCTCTTACAGCAGAAATCAGTGTGAAATACTTTGATGTTAAACTTGTATTGAAGTATTCTTCAATGATAAAACTGCTAGACTAACAGGCTGCAACACCAACTTTAAAAAAAAAAAAAGGAAAAAATAATCAAAGTGAATCACATCCCAACCTGTCACACTGCAACTGTAGCCAAATTGCTTCGCAAGGTGAGAGACCATCTGTTTTTCCAGTTATCTCAAAAATCATGATGAGGAAGAGTATTAGGCGAAAACTCAAAACAGCATCTGGATAACAAGTCATCCCAAAGTCACAAGAAGTTCTACTTATCGAACTACGGCTTACACAAGTTGATTTTATTGGTTAATAAACACAAAATTCAATCAAATACTGACTAAGGCACATCTGCACGGATTTTAATTTTTTGATCGCTCATTTGGAAGCGTACACAAATATTTCATTCAGAGCAATTTAATATAATTTGCTTCCTCTCTTCCTGAATGTTTCTCATTTGTGTAATCAAATATAACAGCAGTAATGATTGCTACCACTATTCCACTCCATGCCTAAAAGCCCAATCCCCAATGACTCATTTCTAATGGAAAGACAACACAAATTATTACACAGAGGAAGAGATCAGTCTGTTTTACATATGGAAGATGGGAAATGATGGAGAAATAGTGCACACAAGCACGGACATAAACACGCTCACACATGCTCTTAAAATAGAGAGCAATTATAAAAACTGCAGGATCAGCGAGCTAACTCCTATGTGCAGCCATAAGCTTCGCGCACACAGGCTTGTTTCTGCTGCCAGTGCAGGTAATGAGTTAAAGGTCAGTAGGTTGTTATGACTCCAATTAGTGCAACACTTCAAATCAGGGCTGTAACTCATCATCTGTGGTGGTCGGTGGATGCTTTAAGATCCCAACAAAGCTAATTGCAGCATAATGAGCACAAACCAATGCAATTATACTGGAGGGCGCTCCCACAAATAATCCCTCGGGGTGGTTTAGAGGTCATGTACAGAGCTTCGATTGGTGTCACGGATCAACACAGAGGTCAGGCTACAGGAAGGAGTCAGGGTTTGAGGTCAGAGTGCGGGGTCAATTTTAAAGACCTGCTCAACCTTTGAAAGGAAAACTCCACCTGATCTGCTTTTGGTACTTGTCACTAAACCAGATGGTTTCTTGGGAGTTTAGCTGAGCAAAGCAGATTTATTAGATTATGCAAAAAACAAAAAATACCATTTTGATGTGGAAATATTTTACCTGTACTTTGGTGTTCTTGATCTGGTATTTATTAGTAATTTGACTAACATAATATTTGTAAAAGCAGAAACTGTTAAAGGGACATTCCAGCGTAAAGTTAAGTTAGGGTCAAACACACCGAAACACCGAGTTAGGGTCCCAGTCATAGTACTAGCCACCAAACATCTTGCTTCTCTAATTATACCAACTTTTGTAACCAACGTAGATAGCAATACAGAGAGCAACGCGCTCAACCACAGCGCCATTCTATAGCCACAAATAATGCTCAGAACAGCACCTAACTTCATCAACAGTACATGTAGGGTCCCAGTCGTAGCACTAGCCAGCAAACATCTTTTTAGCTTTGCCTAATTTCTTTAGCAAAAAGACTAAACATAACTCACCAACTCTCTTACAGCAGCCGGAATATCCCTTTAAGTATTGAAATCAAAATAGAGGAGTGATTGGATGCTTATGTATGACTAGTTTTTGAATAGGCTGGTTTGATTTTAACCAAGATGATTTCTTGCCTTTGGGTACTTATATTATGTGGAAACAGTCCTTAAGTTTGAACCCACTGATTAACTTTCTACTTTATGCAACAGCCGAGTGCACAGTGGAAGAGTTCATACGCCGCAGCAGCTCAGACTCTGAGCCCACCGGTCAGACTGTGCCACCTCATCCTCTATGATGTATCACTAATAAACAACAGGGCAGGACAGAGGCAGCACCCTTTAACAAGGCCAAAACACCGGTCCACTTGCACCGATGACAGCTTGATGAATATACTCTCCAGACTAATCAATGTCACCGTGGCAGTAGGAGCCGGCCCGCTGACCGGATTATAAGAGGTGTTGGATCAGCTGTTAATTAACCAATAAATAGCACCAGAAGTGTAAAAACGGCACACACACAGACATGGACTGCCCTGCTCTCTCCTCTGTTACACCACTATTACACTCTAAAAGGTGTTATGATGCAGTGTTTTACATCTTAGGCTGATGGTAAACAATATGGGGCATTCACTGTAAAATTTAAAAGCAGCGTTTGATGTTGCCACAGAGACAAAAATGTGCTGTTTTTACCTGATGAAGCTAATGCCTCAATGCTTAACAGTAGGAGCCACAGCTACATAAACTCAAATACACACACCGCCCTTTTTTGTACTGCCAATACTGATGTTTACACTGATGCTGTTTCACCTGTTACACCCCTGTCTCCGTCTCTGTCACATTTTCCAACAGTGGCAAAGCTTAACAGTCCTGCCTTGATAAATTAGTGTCAAAAAGGGGTTGATAATTCAGGCCAACGTTTCTCAGCCTTAAAAATGGCTTCTCTAAGATCTTATACAACTTTTCAAAGTCAGCTGCTGGGACCACTAATGTGAAGGAAGACAACCAGGAAGCCCTGCAGCGTGAGTTTATGAGTGTCTCTGTGTATGTGAGAGTGCCTGTGTAAGCTTGTTTCATTGAGCCAATTACATCTTGAGAGGAAGTGATCTTTTCTCCAGCCGTGTGAAGAGTGTGTATTGAATTTCCCTCCACATTGTCTGAGGTATAGGATTTCTATAGAGTGTCTGGAGAAGAAAAAACCTCCAACTTCTCCTTTAATTTCCACAGGTTATGGTACTTCAGTATGGGCATTTATGAGAAGTGAGACATTAATTAATTAAAGGCAGCCTCATTTGAGGGGAAATGAGAGAATCTAAGCCAGGCCACAGCATTTAAAATATTACCTACTCAACCAGCTGTGGTTGCAATTTGGCGTCCTTTGCATGAAGATAGATTGATTGACTAACACAGGCGGAAAACACATTATTAGCTTGAGATGAAGCTCCAAAATTGCATTGTGCAAGGCACTGGCTCCTTTTTAAAATTTATACTACAATCCAAACCTTACTTTCAGCCTCTGAATGATCAGACACCATCAATTCTTGAGAGGTCTCCGAAAGTAGTGTGGGAGGTGCAGCCTTCAGTTATCAGACCCCTCTCCTTTTGATTCAACTTCAAGTCCTGGTTTAGGCAGACATCCTCTCTACCCTTAAGTGCAGGCTTGAAACTTTACTAAAACTTTACCTGTCTGACTCATTTGCTTTAACTGTTAGGATAAATTTCACCAGTTGTGATGCAAATGTTAAGCTCACAACTGCTTTATGCCAACTGCTAAATTTGATAGCATCACTCCTATCTCTATTATCATCATCATAATGTCGTTACTGATATTAGACTCAATAAATTGACTTGCTATTAATATTAAGATCTGTCTTTTATCATTAGTTTGCAGCTCCTACGGATAGGACAAACATTTTTATCATTATTATTGGTACTGTTGCCATAGGTCTAGATGAGCTATTATCATTTTTGTCTGTCTCTATCTCTCCGTCTTTCTCTTTCTTTCTACATCTACCTCTATCCCATTTTACCCAGCCTGATGCAACCTGCTCAACATGAGTCTGGTTCTGCTTGAGGTTTCTGCCTGTTAAAAGAAAGACGTCACTGTTGACTGCCACATGCTTCAGGTACAACACAAAATAATCTTGGCTTCATGTTGGGTTTTTGCACAAAGAGTACAGTCTAGACCTGCTCTCCCTGTAAAGTTTCTTGTCATAACATCTTCAATAAAATGGTGCCGCACAAATAAAGATGGACTGGTTGATTGAATACATAAGATTTTTATGCTTAATGCTTAATAAAGTCTGTTATTTCAGTTTTACTGCCCACAAGTAATCAGTGTTTTCTGAGTGAGGCAGACTTTTCAATAATCTGCACATCAGACATCCAATAAAAACCTAAATAAGAAGAAATATTTCCAGTAGCTTCTCATAAATATCCTGCACATGGAGAATCATGCTCTAGTTCAAAGACAGATTTGTCAAAAACAAAATAAATTTATCACAAAAATTAAATTAAAATCAAAAGTGGATTTAAAACGTTTCCGTAACATAACGTCCTCGCCAGTTCACTTTGACAAATCGCCATAGAAAAAAATCAATTACATTATTCCACATTAACAATAGTGTTGATGTTGATGCCTCAGAGGACCCTCATCCTCGCCAAGATAAAGCCCCCTCAAGGGTTATGTGCAACTGTTTGCTCAAAAAGACTCAAAATTGATACAGCAAGCCGTGACAAGCATCCCATTCACAGCTGCCAGCAGCATTCAGTCCCGCCATCGAGTGAGTGTTTTCGTATATCTGTTCTGTTTATTCTGCTGCTATCTCCTCTCCGCTGCGAGGCCTATAGAGCCTCTCAGGCTGATTGACAGAAAGAGGTTCAGGCTCCTGCCAGAGAAGCATGATTGACGTCCCCAAGATGGATGAGAGCCAGAGAGGATTTTACTGTCACTCTTTGGACGTGCACAGGGCTCCAAGTTGGCAGAAGGTTAATGTGCTTGAGAATTAGTCGCTGCACGTGAAGGCTGCACAAGTTGATTTATTTATGTAATAATAAGCTCTTCTAAATGAACATATCATCGCTGTGGTTTGTAACATGTACTGTGAGGTATGGTTGCCGGGGCAGCATGGCAACACATTTGTCTACTTCCTTTGAGACCGCAGAAGCCCAAGACCAGAATATAGGCTAGCTAGTTTCACTTTTTCTTGCAGACATTATGAGAGCTCCTTCAACCACTGGAAAATACCTACACATCTCTGCAGCCATCAGTGCTTAGTGCAACACCACAAAACATGCAAACGCTTGTTCAACTCTTCGTTGTGATGACTCGAAGAGATAATACCCAGAATGACTTAAGAGTTCCTCTTTGTTTATGTATGGGAAACATCACCAAGATGAGCTCAACCGACAGGATCTCGTCATTCAGCACCCACATGTAGAGACACAACCAAACGCACACATAGCACAGCAGCTTCAGGTGCAACATTTAGGGTCTGCAACTTACTTTTTTATCATCTCTGTGGCTCGCTGTCTGTCCATCCCTGCTGTGGTTGTCTGCAGAAGGCCTGATGCAAGTATCCGCCTGCCTGTCTTCTAGTTCACTCTGCTGATTGGTCCCCAACCGAGGAGAACCCAGAGGGCGGGGCTCAGGCTGCTGAAGGCCACTCTGGACTTCCATCTTCCTCTGCTGTGCCTGAGAAGATCAAGATGGAGGAGAGTGGACTTAAAACTTAAGGAGTAGATTACTTAAATATGTGAAATTGAAGAGTTTCTACCCCAGAGCCATAACCACACTGAACATAAACTTACACTGGCCCCCAATGGACACAGTTGAGTGAATTATTCCCTCCCCTGTTTCCTGACTTCACACTGTGCAAAGCCATTTTTCTCCAGGTAAAATATACATTTTTCCCTGTGCAACATCAAATATCTGCTAACACTTCCACTGTGCATAAAATAAATGTATGTGTAGCATTCATCAACTATGGAATTTGCATTATCTTGAGTGTAACATGCATTTTCAACCTCAAATGACCATTTAATTCAAACCGGATGGATATGAAAGAAGTATTTAGAGAATAGAGAAATGAGTCACTTCAAAGATTTGTAGGGAGAAAAAAATGGCAGTGAATTAAATCACAGATGAACAAAAGACAACAAGTCAATATAGAAATGTGTATTTATCTGGCCTAGGTTTTATGTGCAGCACACTTCATCTGCATCCGTTTTTTAAAGTCTGAATACTCAATGTTGAAAGCTACCATGCTGGGGGGATAAACCAGCAATGTTTTTTTTCTGTCTTTCTGTTTAATTCAACAATTTCAGTTTTTCGCAAAATTCCCCAACATGACAACACAAACCCCATGATGATTTATGTCTTGCTCTATTTTTTATTTTAATCAAAACAAAAAAATCTTTACAACAACATTAAGCAGAAAGATAAAAATCTGCTGAGCAATAACTCGGGCACCGAGAGTCATCTATCACTGAAAAAAGGAACTGTGAGAAAGCAATATTCCTTATGTAAATGAAGTAAGCCCCCTGTTCTGATTAAGGAGAGTAGCACAGAGTAAAATCAAACTGTCTTTGCAAAGTGTGTTTACAGAGCACTGCCCTTATCCACGCCGTTATTTTTACCTGTCAATGCAGGGAAAGCAAAGATGTCATGAATGATATAAACGCCTGCTGTAGATAATTGAGTAAAGTTGGATTCAGGGTCCTGGTATTTTGCATGCTCATTCTGTCACAGTTCACCTGGACTCGGATTCACTTGGAGCCACTGAGCCTTACCGCTGACCTGACCTGTCACAGTACTTGTCATCAAAATATATCAAAATAGGACAATACATGACAAGTTAAAGTAGTTTTCTTTTCTTTTTAACTGTACAATGTCCAAAGGGAGGGAAAAAAGGGCCATGAGGGGACCATATAAAAATGCAACAAAATAACTGTTAAAGTTAAAGTAGTTTTCTTTTCTTTTTAACTGTACAATGTCCAAAGGGAGGAAAAAAAGGGCCATGAGGGGACCATATAAAAATGCAACAAAATAACTGAAATTAGGCATTCATGAACAAAAAATTCTGTAAAAAAATAATATATAAACCGAAAACTCAGTTTCTTTTCCACCCTTTCCTGGGACATGTGAGTCTTCCCTGGTGAAGACTCAGGGTCCCTGGCACAATAACAGCTGCAGGAGAGAGAACCAAAATATGGCAGATTTTGAGTGAGTAAAAATGACCAGCTGTCAAATATTTCTTATCACCATATGAATTCCCTTAAAAATTCCTACTTTGTGACAGTTATTCAAAACCACTGCACTAAATAAAGATAGCATGCAAATTCCAGGACCACTCTTACTGACCTTATTCCCTACATACAGCTATCAAATCCACCCAAACCTACTTTACCCTCTATCACTATTGAAAATCACCCGTACACGTGCCTGTAGAAAAAAGCAGGTTTTGGATCAGGGAAACAAATATGCCTTCAAAGATGTCAAAGGCAATGCTGAAGCTACCCAGGGACCCATGACACTCCCCATTGAGCAATAGACGGCTATTCGATGTCTAGTTTTTTAAGACCTAATTTCAACCGTCTAGATTCTTTAAGTTTTTAGACGGAATTTAGATACTGGACTTTAACCCATTAATCGTAACTATTTATTTCAAAAAGCACCTGTGGGTTGCACAACTGATCTCCAAGTACTTAACCAAAATAATTATGATAGTCGTTGAGCAATAGACAGTGTAGTATAGATACAGTCAGGTTTTAGACTTGGTCCAAACTTGGTCTAAATTTAGAAGTCTAAAAAACTTTCATTTTTTGACCTGTGGTAGCCTGCTTTTAGACAAGTTGTCAAGGCTATATTTAGATGTCTATTAGACCAAAAAATGCTCAGTGGGTCAGACAAACACAACATAATGAAAATCACGGAAGCAGGTTTGGTTGGGTGAAAATCACCTGGCGATAGTGTTCCAGGGTTAAAGTCGAACTAGATCAAGTAACAAGGGTCAGTAGTTCTGGATAAAAGGTTGTTCTTTAGTTGACTGTGTTCAGTTTTACTACAAAGCATTACATTTCAGAAAGCGCTCAAACAATAAAGCCGGAATAAACAAAGTAAAGTGAAGTCACCTTATCCAGAAGGACAGATCAAAAACTATCCATCTGAAATCAGCTTCAGGCCCATGTTTAGCACTGAGATGCTTCATTTTGCATTCTGAGCCCATCAATAAGTTATGAGGTCAGTTAGCTGTTCTCTCAACTGAGATGAGCTGTCTCATAAATACATGTCCTGAAGGACCTTTTAGTGGATCTCTCAACACAGCTGCGGCGGCGGCACAATGACAACAGAAAGAGCGAAAGAGAGAGGGACAGGCCACAAAATTTGGCGCCTTTACGTCACAGGTAAACGCACCTGTTGGCGCGCGTGGATTCACCACTGTGACGTAAAGCTCGTTAACGTTTTCCTGCAATTTAAAATTACCTCGAGGTGGAAATGCAAAGGCGACTTTTGCTCTGTCTAAAACTGAATATTATTACTATCAAACATCAATATTACATAAATGTGTTATGTATCTGTGCCAGACTTTGTTTCCTGGCTTTCAGGTAAATTTGTGACGAATGTTGCCAAGTGTTCAAAAGTTGAGTTGCTAAAATGTGCAACCGCCACGCTCGCGAGCGAATGAAGCTGCAGAGACAGGTGGATACCCAACAAGCACAGGTAAAAAGACAACTTTAAAAACACATTATCTACGCTTGAACTGGGCTTAGAGCGACTTGTGAACATTGAAATGTTTGTTCGTGGTCACTGACGGGGCTTTTAGCACCGTGTCCGTGTTAATACGGCATCTACAGACCGTGTAAAGGCGGCTCACTGACACTAACAAGTCGCAAAAGAAAGCCGAAATACCTCTGTCACTTCTCTGGCTCCTCGTTATGTCAGAAGCATATCAAAGAGGAAGATGCGGTAGTGCAACTTGCTTTACATCTCTGTGGTTGCTGTGACACGAAAAGCCACGCGAGTCTGGGGCAGAACAGGCTGCTGGTTCATTAGGTTGCACGAGAAGTTAGTCCGTCAGAGAGAGAGACTGCCGGGTTTAGAGGTTCAGGGAGAGACTTCATTCACCGCTGAGGAGAAGGCAGTGAACGGTGTCAGAGGAGAAGCACAGACCAGCCACCGTTGTTGCTGCTGCTGCTGTGACGGCGGGCGTGTCCCCGCGAGCTGTCACCCAACAAACCCTCCTCCTCGTTACACCGAGCCCGTGTCAAAAGTGGTGCCTTCAGGTGCTGCTCGAAATATCCCGTTATCCTGTGACAGGAAGTTGAAATTGGTATGTAACAGTTTTTTTTAAAAGGCAAAAAGTACAACTGAACCTTCACTGAAACTCAAGTTAACCCTTTTAATGCCTTTTGTATCATATTTGATACACACTTTTAGATACTTCTATCAAATCAATATGATCAACAAATTACTAAAAAACCACCTGAATACAAACCGATAAATGATAAAATTGTCCTCTAGTAGGTTATTAGTTTCTGAAAACATCTAATGTATCAAATGAGATTAATTAATATATTTCAGCTCCAAATAAATTCGAAGTTTCTAGACACAATTTGTGGTGTCAGGCATTAAAGGGCTACAAACAGATTGTTTAAATAACTTAACACTACGGTGAAATTCCTCATTACAAAGTTTTAAAATTTGGATGAACTTAACAATCGTCAAAGAAACAACAAAAAAAGTAACCTGAAAATATATTTCTGCTTCCTGGCTTTATTGTTAATCTTAATAATAATAAAAGCAAACTGAAAACATACTTTTTTAGTCTTGCTTTTAACTAAATTTTATATCATTATCTTTAAGCATTTTAGCGTTTATCTCTTCTAGTTTTAATGACATGATTGTCTTTTATTGAGCTATTTTGGTGCTCTTATTTAAGTATCTTTTACTGTTGTTTTTATTTCATTTTATTTATTATTATTTAAGTTTCATTCTATATTACTTTTTTTTAGATTTTAACATAAACCTCCAGTGTTTCCTAATCTTGAGTTTTAAAATGACATTTCCTCAGTGCGCACATTCCTGTTTCCACAAAATCAAGCCCTTTTTAAGTTTATGCATTTTAATACTGTTTCTGTTGCATTTATACCATGGGGTGGGAATGAGGGGTTGGGTTGGGGTAGATTTGGCTATTCTTTGTTTCTTTTATTCCTTTTTCTGTGTAAAGCACTTTGTGCTACATTGGTTGTGTATGAAAAGTGATGTATAAAGAAAGACTTACTAATTCATTGATCGATTGTTAGAAGAATATATGGCACATGCATCTAAGTGATACAAACAAGAGTTAATGTTATTATGTAACATAATTGGCTATAGATAAACATTGAACATTATCAATATGTAGATCATTTGAGCAAACATTTCAAATTCAAATTCAACTTTATTTTTATGGCGATTTTCAGACAAAAAATGCAGTTCAAAGTTCCTCACAGAGGCTAAAAACAACCAACTATGTTGGCTGCATACCTTTAATATTTCCTATAGCATTTGAAAGCAGCCAACATTCTAATGCTGTGGGAGGAGCCGACCTATCCTGTTAGAGGTGAGGTTAACCCAGGCCAGTCAGAGCTGAATAGACAGCCAAGCTGCTGAGTGAATGAGGTATTTATATTCTGTCTTATTTAGTGCAAGGAAGAGGAAACTGTACATCCTATGAAATACTTGCGGTTGGATTAGCAGAAAGGCCACTAAACTGAACTTTGAACTAGTTATTTTCTGCAGAATCAAAATGAGCCTGATCCTATGGGAATTATTTTGAAATAATCCCAGGAATGAAATTAAGAAGTGTTTGTAAGTGTAGAGTTACAATTGATCAAAAAGCAGGTCCCAATTACATAATGCTTAACATAGCAATTTGTATCATATTATTATTTAACATAGTCCTATTGATCCCTCTGATTTAGCTTGAGACCCTTTAGGGGATCCTAACCCGAAAGGTTTGGAATGAGTCAGAGGGGACACCCTGAATATGCATGGCAAGTCTCAATAACGGCCACAAGGTGGCAACATAAACTCAGTAAACACAGACTGAAATGAGCTGCAGTTGAACCTTCTATTTGGATTTCTAAAGAATTTAAATACCTACACAGTAATCAGATTTTTTTTTAATAACAAGTGTGCCTCACAAAATGTTCATGGCATAATTATCCTCAAGTTTGCAGTTATTCAAATATGTTTTCGCAGTGTTTTATCAATGATGTGTGCTAATATTGTAGTATAACCTTCTAAGAAAAAGGCTCTTCTGATTTGCCGAGCTGAGCTATAGCATATAAACATCATATCTGTGTAAACCCATTGCATTGGCTTTGCCCCGCCTCCTATCTGCCATAAGTTAGCAGCCATGCTGGTTAATCAGAGGGAAATTCGCCCAATCAAACAACTGCTCTAACAGGCGGGCATCGTCTGTTAGAGCTGAGCTGCCTCTGCCAGAGCAGGCAGACAGGCAGTCAGAGAGGCAGGTGGAGGAGCAGGAGACTGGGCCCTGTATGCTCAGGCCCCTCAGCTTATCCAGACAGGCATGTGTCCTCTGTGTAAGCCAGCAGGGACACACAGTCAGGCATGTCAACGGCCCCAGCCGGCACAAGCAGATGTTTTTCTGGGTATTGTTGTTCCACCTCCCTGGTAATTGTTTTCCTTCAGGGCCAGCCTGTGGGACAAGGTGCCAGGTTGTGTTGTGGCGAGGAGTAATGGAGGGATGGAGAGACAGAGCGTATGATCAATCAGCTTTGCCTTTGGAGGCTGTGCTACACAAACTGTCCATCTTTTTCCTTGTGCCCCATGTGCCTGAATTACAGCAGAACAAACAATTATGCTTGGAGAAAAGGCCTGTGTGTAAATGTGTTATTATGCACTGTCTTTTCAATGCTGATAGAAGTATTTAATTCAGTTTTTACTGCAAGAAGGTGGCGCAAGAAAACAAAAATAAATGGAAACCACATGGACACATTAACTACTAACCCTTAGTTAGCATGCACTTATACAGAAATGGATTATGTCTGCAAAGATCAGCAATTTATGATCAAAATATTAGATTCATTCTTTTGCATATTGTATTTTTGTATAACTCCAAATTCTCTGTACATGACAAGGATATTCATTTGCTTCCTACTGACTATTTTGCAGTATCCTAGTATTATAAAGTCAGTTTACTCTCACAGACGCTTTGCAGTTTGTTAGAAAACCGCTAATGCACTCTGACTGTGTTTGCTGTCAAGTGTTAGTCTGTGATCCCATGTAGAAATTGCCCTCTTAATTAACACACTGAGCTACAGAGATCTTATTACAGGGTCAAATGTTTGCAGACCTCGTTTAAAGCAGTGATGGAGGAGGTCCACTAGGGGGCACTTTGAGACTTTGGATTGAAAGCAGGAGCGATGGAGTCTCTTTTCTTTTTTGTAGAAGTGAACTACCATAGTTTGGAGTTGAATATTTGTATATTTTTTACAGTTCAAATTAAATGTAATATTTTTCTTGGTTGTCACGGTTGTCACTGTATTCAACTCCTCTCAAAATGGATGTTAAAGGTTTAATTCTAGGTTTTTATTCTTAATTTTAAGGACTTTTTAGCTATTTCACCACTAACTTTGTCATATTTTTGTGTTGTTTTTTTTTTTTTTTTCAGGGTCAGACTGATGACTCCTCTCCAGAAAAAAGGCGCCGGTTCAAGAGAGGGGGTCTCAAGATTTGGTGGAGCACCTCTCATCCTTCACCGTGGCAGGGGGACACTCCAGGGAAGCAGCAGCCTTCACTAAAAGCTAGTGTCATGATGTTCAGCTTTTTACAGACTGACGCAAGATGTAAGTAATTTTGGTCCAACCGTGTTTTCATTTTTTCATATATATATAAATATATAAATGTAGGTGTTAAGAGCGTTGTTAAGAGCATGTGGGGAAGGCAGACAGAAAAAGCTGCAGCCATGGAATCTGCTGTTCACACGCAGAGCATTGGACGAAGACTGTATTTCATAATCTACCTTCACTGCCAATAGATGCAAGTGAAAATAGAACCAATGTCACATCTGCCTTTTCACTATTTTTGACGCCATGCAGCATCCATTTGTCACATACCATAGTGAACATCACCCAGGGTTCAGACCTTGTTGCTCTGCGAGTGTGTGTTTCTGTTTGCTGGTTTGTTTTTTTTCGGAGCCGTCAGAGGGCCCTGCCGCCGTTACCGGGTCACACGGCAGCCTTGTGAAGTTGTGGCGGTTACCAACACGTCTGACTGTACAGGAGGAGGCACAGCAGTCCAGCCTGATTACAGAGTAGCACCTTTGGCCCAATATTTCTCACACCCGAGATGAAGGAGTGACAGCATCTGTGGGATAAGCCTGTTTTGGATGAGATGGATTTACACAGGAGAGAGTGGGAAGCATACCTGAGCAGACAGGAAGACAGATGCAGCAAGGGAAAGCCAGGACAGGATTTTTGATTCGGAAAACTGATATTTTATGTCATGCAAGCCGCATTTATTCAAAGCTCAGATCTGAATTTCCTTTGTTGACATACGGATATTATCAACTTTATCTATTTAGGTCTACATTTACATTTTTTGTGTTTGTTTATGAACATGCATGCCTGCTCATCACTTCTGAATCATACCTGTCAAAACCACATCAACCATGAGTCAAACCCCACCCACTGCTGGCATGATTGACAGCCGAGGCAAAGTTCAAACACCACGCTCCAGATCATCACCAAAATACAGCTGCTGCCGCATGAAGGAATAAACACTTCTGAGTCACAGAACAGGACCCTGAAAAATATTAGTCACACATTTCTTTTTTTTTTTAGTCCTTATTGTTTACTGGTCAATGGAAAACTCGAAGGAAGTAATACTGGTCAAACAGAGTCGGAAATTCTGTGCTCACAGAGAAAAACAATGAAATGAATGGCATGTTTGTGATTTTATATTTAAGCAAAAAATAAAGGAATTCTTTTTGAAACATAAAATAAGTAATCGAGGCATTTAGAACAAAACACCTTTTTTTTTTCCCCTGACTCTTTTTCACGTTTGCATCATGCATCTCATGAACAAAAGCCCGACGTGTTCCAAGAGTAGTGCTGTTTCTAAAACTAGGAGAGGACAAAAGAACTGCGCCTGCTGATATACCATGTGTCAACTGCCCTGTTTCTGTGTGTGTGTGTGCATGCATGCTTTGTGTGCATGTGTGTGTGTGTGTGTGTGTGTGTGTGTGCCGATGAGCAAGCACATGCATACATTTGTGTCAACCGCAGTGTGCATAGAGGTGGCAATTTTTTTTTTGCTTTCATGGGTGTGAACTGTAAGAGAATTGCAGTCCAATTAGTTTTATGATTGTTTTGAAGCTTGGAGAAAATTATTTGACATTTTTAAGGGGAAGTATCTATTTTTTAATCTATGGACATTTTCTTGAGTTTAGATTATTACCTAAATTCAACCCTCTTAACAATAGACCTCCATATTTTATAAGCGAGTTCAAATTTCAGCCCCTGTTTCAATCCTCAAAATGAATGTCATATAGCAGCTGTGAATCCAGTTCACTGCATGTGTGTGTAGGCTATGTTACTTCATGTAAAACTGCATGCCCAAGTGTTACTTTGAGTGTGTTGATGTTTCCAAGCTGGGTTGAATCATTAGGAAGTGATTCTCTCTAACAAGGGCTTAGGAGCTGTCAGGAGACATTCACAGGCAGGTTTCGCCATGGAGAGTGTGAGGAGTCTTATCAGGGTCTTAGCTGTTTTGCTGCGCCTGTTTATAAAGAGCCTGCTTTATTTGGAGTGAATGCATTCTAGCAAGGTCTCTACTGTTTCTGTGCGTTGATTAAAAGTGTTTTCACGATTACCCGTAGTGAGTCTATTCCAGCCTAACAGGGTTACTAGCAGTTTTAATGAAGGGGAATCATCATTACATGTGAAAGGGGTTTGTCGGGGTCTCGTGCCGTCTTTGTCTTTCCGATTGTTTGGTGTGAGAGGGAGAACTTTGCCTTCAGTTTGTCACAGGCTTTACATTTACATTTGCTCTCTTGTTAGCTTAGTTTGTTGACTTTTTTTTATTTATTTAGAAGAAGCATGTCAGACTATTTTACTTAAAGTTATGTCATGATCAACATTCATAAAAGCACTTTCCTCCTCTGCAAAGCCTCTCCTCTCTTAAATCAGAAGAAAATTTAGTAAACTGTGATTAGAGTCATGTTATATCTTTATTCCTCTCTCTCTCTTTCTCTCTCTCTCTCTCTCTGTGTTTGGGTGTTCTGCATCTCCCCTTCCTCTTCTTCAGTTTTACAGTTGCCCACCCGCTACTGTGGCTTTCTTGCTCTGCTTTTGTTGGCTGTGGTCAGCTTTTGCATTCGCTGGTGTGAGTGAATTTCTCACAGCTTCTCGTGAATGTGTTTTTTGAAAGTCCTATTCAACATTTGGTGCAACTATAATCGGCACTAAGCCACTACGCGCATACAGACGTGTCTGTGGATTCACACATTTGGGCCTTCAGAAGTGTTGTGCCATCTCTTTTTAATATTTTTCTTTCAGGCCAAGTATCTACTAAAGAAATGTTTGAAATTGATTAAAGGAATTCTGATTGGACGCATGTTTATAATAGACTCATCGCAGAAGTAAAAAAACAGCACGGTAGCTTCCCGTCTGACTTTGTCTTCCTAAAAATACTGTACTTAAGCGAGACAACAGTTTTTTAAAACCTATAAACACATCAAATATTTCGATTATTTTTCTAAACTGAGATGATTTAACCAGACGGAGCTTCAATGCGGAAAAAAAAAAGGTTCGAAAAATTCCAAGAATAAAAAGTACAACCCAACGACATGTTTAAACCTGTACCGATTTTTTGACGTATGTTGTGAGACTGAATCAAAAGCTTCTGCTTTTAATTCTTGCACATTTGGTAATACTTGTAGAAGTGTGTTTTGGCACCACCAAGGTTCCCCTTCTCAACAACCCAGCAATCGCACTCTCACTTCTCTTTTTTTTAAAAGAGCACAGCGTGATGTCTTAAATTTAAACATCACCTCACACCGGGAGCTTCGGCTATATTTGTGCATGCTCAAGAACGTGCGTATGGTTCTGCCACTGGGCTCTTTATCTACTTCTGTTATCAAATCAAACAATTAGATCTGCAGCCTTGTAGCAGAAAATTACATTTCCACACAACGGCGTGTCTTCCATTAATATATTTTAACATCTGACTTTGAGCTCTGTCAATCTCCGATGGGGCCAATAGATAATAAATGGATGACTTGTGAAACTATAATGAAGTGACTGTCTTGCTGTCGACAAGGGAGCCTCCAGTGCTTTAGTGTAAAGTAGAGCCTCCAAACGGAGGCCCTCCGGTGCACAGATTATTACACTGGCCGTTAAAATGAGCTAATGTTCTGCTGCCAGTGCTCCTCTCCAAAGGGACACAAGCTAAATTCCCCTCTCGCAGCTGCAAAACAGAGGTGTAAATTAAAGCCAAACAAAGTAAAAAAAAAAAAGAAAGAAAGAAAGGCCAGGCTACAGTATTTCTATGATTAAAATGTGGGATTTCCTCAGTTTGTGGTGGAAACTGCTGTGGGCGTAAGGTTTCTCTTATTGTGTTATCTATGACAGATGATGCTTGTGCAGCTTTTGTTGTTAACTGTGTGTGTGTTTGTATTGTGGACTACTAAATCACAACATTTCCACTTAAAAAGTCACAGTTATATTTTTAACAGGTTTGTTTGGATATCTATTCCTGTGAATGCAGCATTTTTTTTTTCCATTTTTATCTCTTTAGTATTTTGTTCTGAATAGTTTATGGCATCAGAGGGTGTGTTTTCGCTGTAAAGTTGAGCGAGCTGAATAAGCTAAATGAGACTTTTGTATGGATTTGTTGCTGCTGTTTTTATTTACAGTCTTAAGGTGCCGGCGCTTCCCCCAGGTACTTATTAGCGATGACAGGGGATGGCTGATTTGACAGAAGTGTGACAGGTGAAAATTTCCTACACACAATTCAACTCAGCACATTAATCCAATTAATTTTGAACATGTTTTTCTCTCTCTCCTACTGTCAGCCAGCAGCACTGAATTAAAAATACCAACGATTCTGTATTACATAAAGAAAATTAACCTATTTTCGCCATAGGTTTTCAGTTTTAATTCAGTGTGTAGAAGAAAAAAACATGAACGAAACATTCAAAAATATGTAGGTGCAGTGTGATCGTTGAGGGCAACGTCAGACACCCCACAAACATAAATGCATCCTTGGGGGTGGGGTGTTGAGGTTTTAAGGGGGATAACGGTGAAAAAATATTCCACTTTGAGAATGTGCAAGATCTCATGCAGTTGCCTCTCTCACTCTCTATCCCTCCTCTCTGTTGGCGCTAAATCACACGTTAGTACAGCCAGTGGATGTGTTGACAGTTTTACAAACAGAAATGTAAAACGCCATACTCAAGGGGGTCTAAGAGATAAGGGGGGAACTGAACAGGGCAGGAAACAGAACAAACATGGCCCAGGGAAGCACTGAATGCCACATTCAGACACCTCGGCTGGGTTATTTTAATTACATGGCGTATGTAACACTATCAGCTTTAGCAATGAGTGGTGTCACGTAAGGAGAGGAAGTACCGCTGCTCAATTCTTCTGGGATTTCCTTTAGCTCTTAACCTGCCAGAGCAGACGTAAAGAGAAAGAAGTGTAAAAATAGTAAAGACACTTTGTTAAAGTTCTCCCTAAATGAACCACCGAAAAAGACGACTGCTGAGAAAAAAGCATAACTGTCATCCGGTTAAGCACGTTTCCATTAGCTAGAAAATGAAACTTTTCTGCCTCCCCGCTGTCTCCAGCTCACTTTTAATAACTATAGTGGGCAGATGTGAGAGACGTTCCCAGTGGATTGTTTTAGCCTGCTGAGCACACAGCATGGTGGTTTTGGGGACAAACAGACCCAGTCAGGGGTGTCCCTTAAAAACCTGTTAGGATCCAATGAATTAGGGCTCAGGTCTGTGGACGACAATGACTCCAGAATCAGAGTCAGAATCAAGTTTATTGCAAAAATGGGATAACACATTAGAGGAATTTTACATAATTTGTATAATAGTAATGATAATAACAGTATTTTGAATAAATACATATAAAATAATACAGATATAATAATCACAAATAAATAGCGTTTATTTTTTTGCGTATTATGATATATGAAAGAGATAAGGACGCTAAACTACAGCCTTATGAAATATTTAAAATTCTATCTAAGGGATGAAAGAGACACCTGAGTGAACAAGCCGTAGATTTCACACAGTATATATTGTGTCAGAGAGCCTTTGCTCCTTGACCTGACATACTGTATATAGACTTGTTCAAGCCTGAACATGTCAGACCTTTTCTGTCATTTTTGATTTATTTGTGAGACCGACAGATAAATGCTCCAGACACCCGAGTGTTTCTAGGCAGTCATGGAGGAACTTAAAGAGCTTTTTTTAGTGTACCGAAACTCAGTGTATTTGATAACCCACCTAAATTAAAAAGGACACACTTCCGAGCTTACTACTTTGACTAAACTAATTCAGCAAGTTAAATTAGCATTTAGCTTGTGTTTAGCCAGTTCTTGGCAAACAGTCATATGATTTAGTCATAGAAGGCATATAGAATGGACGCCATCTGCCTCCTCGCTGGGTGAAGCCACTCCGAGAACAGCACCCTCTGGTGACGGGCTGCAGTATAGGTCATAAATTCCACCTCCTCCAGCAATCCCTATGGAGCTGTCGACAAACTTAAGAAATTTTTTATACAAAATATAATTTTTTCTCCCCTTGCTTCCGATGTTGACATGTAGTTATTGTAAGACTGGTTTGCGCTCAAGTCCTCTTTTTTTTTTTTTGCAGCTCAGGTTTTTAAAGTTATTAGGGGGTTTATGTTATCTATGATTGACACTTGATACAGCCTATGGACTAACTGCGCTAGTGATTAAGTGCATACAACGCTACTGCACAATGTTGGTTTCAGGAAATGGAGGAAAATCGCAGAAATACCCAGAGCTTTTCGGCTTCAAATCCGTATACAGGCGGAAGGCGGAACCAAGTTATCCATAGTATATACAGTCTATGGATTTAGTAGGCTGCTAATGGTATCTGGCCACTGTGTGAATATGGTCTATGGGAAATCAATATAGTGAGGATTGGCAGTTGATAATTTTACACTTGTGTCTGCGTTTTTATGTATGTTTTTTTAAGTGGGGGAGTTTGCAATGCTTTTTTATCAGATGGAGAGATATTGGCTTGAAGACAACGATTGGCCCCAACTGGTCCTGGTGCTGGTAGGACACAGGCCCTGCCTTCGAAAAGGCATCATTAGAAAGTGACAAAACTGCCAGGGGCAAAACTGGCCCCGCACAATGATCAATTCGACAGACAGGATTGAATTATAGGGGGGCGAGCCGGCTTTAAAGAAGGGGAATCAGAGGGAGTTGGTATAGTACAAGACCCCCTACTGCTTTAATTACTGATGTGTGCGTCTCCCAATTAACAGCGCACCTATGGTCCACTGGCCACTCTGGGACTGTACAAAGCAGGAGAGGAGAAAGAACATTCTGCAGAGAGAGAGAGAGAGACGCAAGGAGACACACAAACCGGGGTGCTCATTAGCGAATGGTAATCAGCGGTCGAGAGGTTGGGCACTCACCTCACAAAACGCCACATGTCAATTTGTCCCCCTCCATTCATGAGCGCTCTCTCATTTTTAGCCTGCTCTCGCATGTTCCCTTGTTGAGGAGAATTGGATGGAGCGCCATGGGGGGAAACACTCGGAGGGGAACGTAAACACGAGCTTGGAGTGGGGACTCCTGCTTCGTCAACAAGGGGGGGACCACACTCCTCAGCTGTGGCTCTTTGGCTTCTTCTCATATGTCCCTGTCCGCTTACAACTCAAATGACCCCAGCCTCAGCTTCTTACAATTCACTTCTACCATCTGCTTTTTGTTCATTTTATTATATGCAGCTGGGATAGAGGATCTTTGGTTGTGATACGATACACTACAAGTGAAGCTTGCACAGATTTAAACACAAAAGTTTTCAAGGAGAGACTTTACTGATCGCAAAACCTACAGTAGTTTTCTGCTTTAAAAAAGTTCTAAGAAGGAAAATTTTGGAGAAATGTTGTTTAT